CATCTCCTGCATGGTGCTGGAGAAGGGGACCCCGGGTCTCAGCTTTGGAAAGAAGGAGAAGAAGGTGAGACGCTTCCTCTGCTTCCCTGGCGGGAATGCAGGACAGAGATGAGTTCATCTGCAGAGCACGAGGCATCTCTTGTTGGATGGGAGCAGCTTACCAGCCTGGCATATTCTTTTCCAAGCCACATCCAATTTTGGTGAAGTTGCACAATAACTTTTGCTTTAGTAAGCAAAGGATTTCGGTCTGAGGAACACCAAAGTTCATTAGATCTGGGCCTTTTCTCAAAGACACTCCAATTTCTAGCTCAGCACACTGACACCAGACTGAACAGACCACAGGCTCAGAGGTGCTCCTGCAGGAGCTTGGCCATGAGATCAAGGGTTGGGAGCAGGCTGGGCAGCTCTCTGCTGGGAGCTGGATGTGTGCAGCTCCTCAGTGCTCTGTTTCTTCCCAGGTGGGCTGGAATTCCCAGCCAACTCGGGCTGTGATCTTTGAGGACTGCTGTCGTTCCTGTTGAAAACCGTCTGGGAGCTGAAGGTCAGGGCTTCAACATTGCCATGAAGGGGCTGAATGGAGGCAGGATAAACATTGGTAAGAAAGACAGCAGAGAGCCAAAGGAGAAGGGCAGGGTTATATTGTCACCTCTCTGCATTAGATTCACACTCACTCTGTATTCTTGGCTTCTCCCACCAGCTTCTTGTTCATTAGGAGCTGCTCATGCTTCTGTTCTCCTGGCTCAGGAACATCTCACTGTCCGCAAGCAGTTTGGGGAACCCCTTGCAAACAATCAGGTAACCTCTCCACCAGCTCTGCACTCCCTGAGCTGTGCTTTGTCTGAGATCAGAGCTTCAAGTCAGGATTGTGCTTTTCTGGAGTAACAAAGTGTGTCAGGCCTGAGATCTGTCTGCAGGTCATGGGGATGTGGTTTGGGACACAGCCCCCTCTGAAGACAATGACCTAATTTTTCCTCCCGTGCTGTCTGTTGGCAGTACCTGCAGTTCAGGCTGGCAGAGATGGCAACGCGCCTGGTGGCAGCACGACTGATGGTACGCAACGCCGCACGGGCACTGCAGGAGGGACGTGAGGATGCAGCTGTGCTGTGCTCCATGGCCAAGCTCTTCGCTACTGATGAATGCTTTGCGGTAGGTTGCTCAAACCTCAGCTGGCATCATAACTGGAAGCTTGGAGACCGCTCTTGGTGCTCAGAATGTCAGAAAGAAGTTTAACACTATCAAGCCCCAGCCCCAAGTGTGCTCATTGAGCCAGAAGCCTCTTTTTAGGACCAGGATATTTTATGGGACAGAATTCTGCACCCTGCAGAGGCAGCAGTACTTGTGTCTCCAGAGTTCAGGACCCCTGGCTCCTAGTGCTTTCTGTATTACTTTTTAGGGGACCAAGCAGGGAGACAGGACAGGGTGTGGAGCATTTTTATTTTCAAGGGGTAATATGCATATTAACATGCTTATCACTCATAGGTAGCAAGCGATCTTCCCTGGACCACTGAGAAATAAAACATTATCACAAAATGTGCCTGAAAAGAGAAAGCAAGAAGGAACAAAAAGGAAGGAAAGTGAAATCTGCGCTCTGACACATCCTAGATTAGTGTCATTTAGAAACTATCATATTTTCTCAGCACTCTGCATTTTTTCCACATATTTATTATGTTTTCTGTCCCAAGCTGATAGATACTGATAGATGGATTCATGTTTCAGTAGAAATCAAAGAACTGAACGGATTCCTCAGTTGACTGGCCACTAGATGGTGATCTGTTGTTTTGTTCTTTGTATTTGTAGCACCATGGAAATGCAGCAAAAAAAATGCCTTTGTTAAGTAAAGCATTTCCTGGTTATTTACACGCTTACAGTGTTGCTATTAATGATATAAATGCACCATTAATGTCCAACAGCACTTAGGGAACACGATAGCACTGCGGGCAGCACTGATGGGGACTGAAAGCTCCTTGCTATCACACCAGACTGTGAAGAGATGAGGTTAGGTGACCGGGAAAAATAGAAATGAGCCCAGCTTCCTGGGTTCTTACCGAGCTTCTGTGCTGACTTGTCCTCAACACCACGTGAGTCTCAATGCTGTCTTCTTAGATCTGCAACCAGGCTCTGCAGATGCACGGAGGCTACGGCTACCTGAAGGATTATGCTGTGCAGCAGTTTGTGCGAGACATCAGAGTCCACCAGATACTGGAAGGTAAAATGCTCTCACTTGCAGTGTCTTGGCCATGTACCAGGGGAGGACGGGCTCTCCTGGGGCCCCTGCCTCCCACATGACTGACTCTAGGGTTTCAGAGTCCACTTTTGTTCTGAGCATGAAGTGTTCCTGGATGTCGTGCGTGTGAATCCCCTGGCCAAGAGCTCATGGTGTGTTCTCCAACCATCTGGAGAAGTCACTGTGTAGTTTAAGAGGCTTACAGCAGGGGGAGATCTCTGGCTGTCGTTGTTAGCGGTGCCTCTGTCCAGTTTTAACCGATTACTCCTCCAGACACCTGCTGAGGGTCCCCAGCCATTCCTATCCCTGGATTCCTGTTTGCTTTCCAATCTTTGACATGAGGTCTCTGGCAGTATTTGGGCACAACTGTATCTGCAGTTGCCTTTCCTAATCTCAATTCGCCCTCCTAACCGTTTTGTTTTCTCTCCTTGGAAATCCCTTCACCTCGTGGTACCTTGTAGGGACACAATCTTTTCTATACTAAATAGCCCTACAGTCTTTCTGTATATTGTGTATGGAAAACGTAAAGTAAAGTGGAGAACCAAGCTGTTGACATAGCTCTGGCTCTGCTCAGTGCCTGGTGCCCTCATCCTCTCAGTGCCCAGATAAAAGAAGCACCAGCAGCTATCCCTCTGAACCCTGTCCTGAGCACCATGCTGGCACTCACCAGATTTTGGCCCAACACCTCCAAAACCCATCTCAATTGCTCCACCTGGAAAGAGCATTTCTGTGCTGTCGACAGAGCATCAGGGAAGGATTTTTTTTGTCCTCGCTGGGGGCTGAACCAGACTGTCTCTAACCTGTCTTTTGCTGCAGGTACCAATGAGGTGATGCGGATGATCGTGGCCAGGAATCTGTTACAGGTGTGAAGCCGAGGAGCAAACCTCCAGCCTTCGTGTCCTCCGTCCGTGCCAGCAGGGTCTGTTTCCCTCCCCTGCTCTCTCCCTGGGAGCAGAGAGGGTGCCGGCAGTCTGTCTGTCTGCCTCGTACCGGAGGGCACCACAGCAGGACACTGCCCGCAGGCTGCCACAGCACCCTGTGCCCGTGGGCTGCTGCCACCAGGCTGGCGTTGTGCAGCCTGGGGACACAAATCGTGGCTCTGAGTCTGAGCCTCTGGCTGCAAATCCTGAGTTTTGGAAGAGAAGCACCACCTGCTGAGCCGGGACAGAAACAGGACCAGCGAAATCTTTAGTTTGAAGGAGCCCATTGCTTGGGAACCCGTCCTCCTGGACAAGTTCGCTGCAAGCACCGCACCTCAAACCACTGCAGGAAGGGATCACTGATTAATTGAGGAGCTTGTTAACCGAGCCCCGTGTTTATTTAGAGGCACTCCTCTTCCCCCAGCACCCCTCTCCTGAGGTACTACAGCGGTGGGGAGCGGGGTCCCGGGGGAACCTTGTGCTCGGAGCAGCTCTGAGCAGCTCCCTGCGGCGTCTGTGGGAGTAAAACACTGGTAAACCCCGCTGCTGGTTTTCGTTGGTTTTTTTTTTTTTTTTTTTTTTTTTTTTCCCTCACAGTGTTTATTTTAGTTTCGTTTTTCCTCGTATTTTACTTTCCCTTTTTTTCCTTATGCAGTTTATTTTATTTTCCTTCTTATTTCTCACAGTGCTTATTTTCCTTTTTTCCTCACAATTTATTTTTCTTTTATTCCTCACACTTGATTTTGTTTTCCTCTTTTTCCTCACATTTTATTTTCCTTTTTCTTCTCAGTTTATTTTTTTTCTCACATTTTTCCTTTTTTTCTCACATTTTATTTTGTTTTCCTTTCTTTTTCCTCACATTTTATTTTGTTTTCCCTTTTTCCTCACATTTTATTTTATTTTCCCCTTTTTCTCAGTTTATTTTATTTTTTCCTCACAGTTTATTTTTCCTCACAGTTTATTTTGTTTTCCTTTTTTTCCCTCACATTTTATTTCCCTTTTTTTCCTCAGTTTATTTTTTTCCTCACAGTTTATTTTTTCCTCACATTTTATTTTGCTTTCCCTTTTTCCTCATATTTTATTTTATTTTCCTTTTTTCTCAGTTTATTTTATTTTTTCCTCACAATTTATTTTTCCTCACAGTTTATTTTGTTTTCCTTTTTTTTTTCTCACATTTTGATTTCCCTTTTTTCCCTCATATTTTAATTTTCCTTTTTTTTTTTCAATTTTATTTTTCCCTCGCAGTTTATTTTGTTTTCCTTTTTTTTCCTCACATTTTATTTCCCTTTTTTCTCAGTTTATTTTTTTCCTCAGAGTTAATTTTTTTCTCACATTTTATTTTTCTTTCCTCACATTTTATTTTGTTTTCCTTTTTTTTCCTAACATTTTATTTTCCTTTTTTTTTCCTCAGTTTATTTGATTTTTCTCCTCAGTTTATTTTTTCTCACATTTTATTTTTTTTCTCACATTTTATTTTGTTTTCCCTTTTTCCTCACATTTTATTTTCCTTTTTCCTCAGTTTATTTTATTTTTTCCTCACAGTTTATTTTTCCTCACAGTTTATTTTGCTTCCCTTTTTTCCCCTCACATTTTATTCCCTTATTTTTTCCCTCACACACCATTTCCCTTCCCCCCCCTTTATTTCTTTCCCTTTCCCCCACACTTTCTCCCCTCTCCCCAGCCCCGTGCCGCCCCCCCCCCCCAACCCCCTCCACCCCCCCCCACACCACGATTGGCACCGTCCCCCAACTCCTCCCCCTCCCCTCCCATGCTGGCGGCGCCCAATGGCAGAACCCGCTGCGGGGCTGAGGGGCGGGACGAGGACCGAGGGCGGGCGGAGCGGCCCAAAGCCGCTCTGCGGGCGGGGGAGGGGGGGGACTCGGTGGCGGCGGCGGCGGCGGTGCCGTGGCCGTGGCCGGCTGCGGGCGGCCGCCATGTGGCCGTGTGGCGGGCGGCGGCAGCGCCGCTTCGGGGGCGCCGCGGTGCTGCTGGGTGTGCTCTGGCTGCTGGCCCGCAGGTGGGAGCCCGCGGATGGGTTTTTGGGCTGGGGGGGGCTGGGGGAGGACGGGTTGTATCGGGATTGGGGGTGTGAGGGGGATGCTGGGGTCCGCGGGTGGGTGCTGTGGGGTGGTTTTGGGGAGGGGGGGGGGGCAGCGCCTGAGGGGCGCCCACCCGGCACCCTTGGGTGCTGCTGGCCCTCAGCTGGGCGCCCACCCCCTCGCAGCGCGCCCCCCTCAGCCCCTTCCCGGCCTGGTGCTCGGGGTCCCCTCAGCATCGCCACAGCGCCCGCTGCCTCCTGCCCTTCTGCCCCCTCCTGCCTTTTTCTAACCCTCCCGGAGCAAAAAGATGCTGGTGGAGCTTCAGGACCTTCTGCTGGCCACAGTCCTCCTGCCTGAGGCACCGCGACGCCCAGGGAGCTGCTGGGTGACAGCACAGCGCTGGGGGTGACAGGTTGGGTTTACCAGCACCCAGATCCTGTCTGAACCCTGCATGTGTCCTAACGAGGCCGTACATGCACAAATTACCCACTTTTCAACGCTACAGAAGACCCCTGAGAAGTCTTTGCTTGATTAGAGGCGAAATTCTGCTGTGGCCAGGCTTGGATTTGTGCCACATGTGTTCTTAGCAGAGGATTATCGAAAACCGATGCATGGTGAAAGCACAGAAGCCTGTCTTCTCCAAGAGTGGATCTGCTCAACGCCCTGTTCATCGGCGCCCAGTGTTTTTTTTCTTTAGCTCAGGTCACCTGAGAATGAGCTGTGCGGTGAGGAGCACGGGTCCGAGCCGTGTCGAATGGAGTCGGGACCTCTCTTGCCACAAGGCAGCGAGCAGTGAGTGAAGGCAACTTAAAGCTTTCACTTTTCTGAAGGCAAAGGATGCCCAAAATAAACAGCCAATTCCTCAGAGGCAGCTCTAAGTAGGGCTTATAGATTAACTGCAAAGTCCTCTGTCCTCTGAAGCACATCCTTTAGTCTTGCCAAGGAAAGCTAATAGCTTTGATGTTCCCTACCACCATCCCATTTTGACTTTCTTTTCCGTTAGCTTTTTCTCCCAACTGTTCTGGGTACATGGCAGAGCAATACCAAAGCTAAATCTCATCTCTGATGCAGAGAGAGCTCAGCTAGGCTTTTGTTTCACAGGCATGAGTGCTGTAGCGTAGCTGTCTGGCTTAGCAGTCAGCTGATGGCTTTCTTATTCCTCTTGGAGTGTTTCCTGCTTCAACTTACATTTTATAAAGACCAACTCCTAAGGACTACATCTTGTCCAGCCCAATTTCAAAGATTCTGCTCTGGCAAACTCGGTCATCTATAGCTAAGTATTTCTGCAGTGCAGTCTAGCTGGTGCTGCGGTCCTGGCTTCAGAGTTTGAGTCCCGGGCTGCTTCGTGCTTCACAAAATACCCAAGAATTCCTTTCTGTGACCTCCATGAGATGGCTGGCTGGAGGTATTGCTGTCCAGAGGTGGTGGCAATGAGAACCCGTCCAAGTTCAGTGACAGTGAAGGAGAATTAGTTACAGCATGTGCAGATGTGGTGCTTCCCCACTGAGGTCTCCACAAATCATAACTGAGTTGCTTTTTGGGACAAAGGCATGTTGGAGATTAATTTGAAAAAAAAAAAAAAAAGACTTTCTTGAATCAATGGCTACAGAGGGATAAAGTAGGCCAGCAAGCTTTAGCAAAAGGACAAAAAAAAAAAAGATTCTTTGAAATGTTCTGTCGTTACAGAAGTGAGAAGAAATCTACTGGGAGCTATGCATTGCTCTCAAGAGCTGGTACAGGGCCCAGGGGGGCTCTCAGCGATGGAAATCCAGCTCATGGTAACAGGATGAAACTCTGCTGAGTCAAGGAAGTTTTTTCTGGAGAAGCAACTTGAACAGATTGTAGCAAGAGATGTGGATTTCAGGATATCCAGGATAATCTGTAGAAAATCTCAGGGACTTGGCGGCTTCCTACCCGTTCTCTTTGGTGAGAGAAGGCACTGGAGCCAGGGAGGTTTGAGGTTGGGAACTTGTTTAAAACTTGCCAACTAAGTGCTGCCCGGGATTAAGAAGATGAGCTTAAGTGATTTGTTTATTTTTATCTGGCCACATATGCTTCCCGAATGCTGCGCTCCCTCTGCCACCGGTGGCCCAGTTAGCATCAGTGCTGTGTGCAGGTATAACTTCGGGCTTTACCTGGCTCAGAAGCGGCTTTGAAACTTATTTATTTCCAACCTAAACTTTCATAATTGGAGCTTTGCCTCTCCTGACCCTTCTGAGCTTTCTGCCTGGGGCTCACCACAAGCAGGCAGATACAGCTGCTGTTTTGGGATCCGATGTGGGGAGTTTCCACCTGTGCAAGACTGCAAGTTGGAGCAGAGAGGTATTCAGTTCTGCGTGTGGATTGAGAGCCACCTCCCCTGCTGGTGAAATTCACAGTAACTCCCTGGGGGCAGTGCTGCTGTTTCCTAGCCTTAAGTCATCATTCTCTGCCTGTACGCGCTATCTCGTGTAGATAAGCATTTCTGATCCTGTTCCTTCGCCCTTTGAATATAGCAGCTACGTGTTTTATGCTTATTTCCCCAAGCTGCAGCTGCACTGTCCTCATAAAACCCAGCTTTGCTGTTCCTGCACCACCTTCTGCCTGGGGTGTGTCAGTTCTCCTTGCTCAGCACTATTTGTAAACGGTTCGATCAAAGCACGAGTGGTCGTTGACCGAAGGCAGTGAATTTCTAACCTACACTTGCTTTTCCAGGTATTACCCATGCCTGCTGCCTGTTGTTTCAGAGGCCTGTGAGAATGCTGTGCTACACAGGTACTCTGTGCTTGTCAGCCAGCCCTTGCAACCTGTTCAGTCTCAGCTTTAGTTGGCTTGTAGTGCCCTTGTCTTGTGCTGGAGGACAGGTAAATCGCTGCAGGCTCCTGGTTAGTAATCCCTGTAAGATGTGAATTCTGTCCTCCCCCTCTGCTAACAGCCGCTCTACAGATAGAGTAGAAAGCAGCCAGAGGCTTAGGTATTTCCCTCTCCCAGTGTGACATTTCTCTGAGATGTGTGGGTCCCGCTTTTCTCGAGACTGGAATTCATTTCTTGCATCTGGCTGTGATGATGTCTCCGAGGAACAAGCTGCTATTGTCCAACTCCTTTGTGTATTCAGAGTCGTGGCACTGGGGTGGTCTGATGGAGGCAGTGTAACTGCTTTGGTTCTTGGCTGGTTGATAAAAATGTCCTCTTGATGCAGCCAAAAAGGACCAGGGAGCCAGGCAGGGCAATAGGAATAGCTTCTTGCACGCAGGAACCAACCTGAACGGAGCTGTGATAGCACAAGTATTCAAGCTGGTAAGCGCTTTGGAGCCCAGTGTCTCGCACTGTTTGGTGCAGTTCTTTTGCCAAACAAGTTATAAAGGAATTAAAATAAGCAGCAATACAGGCAGACATAAGTCTGTGCTGACAGCAGACTTAATCTGTGCTGAGTGATGAATTTGATCCAGGGGTTTTCTTTAAATTAAGGAAAAGGTTTGTTCCTAGTGGACAGGTGAGGGTTCTTTATTTCTTCCATGCCTTGAGTTGGAAGGCACCGGAGCGGTGCTCGTTGTCACAAATACCACGTCACTCAACTCTAATGTTACACACGCTTCATGAAGACATCCATTTTTCATAAGCATGAGGCATTCAGGGTAGCAGCACTGAAATGCCATTGCTGTTGGAGTGGGGATCAGAAAGTCAGGCAGTGTTTGTCATCCTACAGCAAAGCGGGAGGCCTTAAATGTCAGCAGTCATAAAAGTTTCTGCTTGTGTTGTGAGCGAGAATTTCCCCATCTCGTGTTTGCAGCAAGTTAGTTTCACGATCTCTGCCTGAGTGTGTTACATTTCAGTTGCAGAGCGTGGCAGAGTGGCTTGAGGCAGTCAGGATGGAAGTTAGTAGTGAAATGAGAATTAAATACGCGTCTTGGGCAGCTCTTTAACCCGTTTTACATTTTTTTGGAAAACCTGTATGCTGTATGTGACAAAAAGCACCGTTTGCCTAGGTTGGAAGGTGAGAGCTGATCCTGCCAGGTGGGGTGAAATGAGCAGTCTCTCTTAGGGGAGCCGATCTCTTTACCAGAGGCCTGGTGCTCATCTCTCTCTTTCTCTTCTAGGTTTAACTGGAGTGAGCTGATCCCTATGCGGTTATGGGGGAGGACCCTCGGCTTGCAGACAGAGAACTCTCAGTTCCTGCTGGAAGGCATGCCGTTTCGCATCTTCGGAGGCTCAATGCACTATTTCCGAGTCCCCAGGGAGTACTGGGAAGACCGCATGCTTAAGATGAAAGCCTGTGGTTTAAACACCCTCACGACGTAAGTGTCCCCGCTGTCTCATCCCTGTGACGTGCACCTAACAGCCAATTCCCTGCTCTGTGAGAGCTGATGGGGCCCTGGCAATGTGTTTTGGTACTTAGTATGGGGAAAAACTAATTCCTTCTTCTGCCACAACCTTTAGCATCTGTTCTCTGCAGTTTCCCTGCTAGCCTGTTAGGCGCTTCCCTGAGCAAGTTTCTCCAGCTGGTGGATGTGGGCTCTAGGCTTAGGTGTTCCCTTGGATCCCATTTTTCCCTGTTCCTTTGTGCTGTACCAGCAGCCTTCCCCCAAAGCAGCCTGTGGATCTGCTGTAGTGCCTGATGAAAGGGATTTCCAGCTGGGATGTTTAGGAACAGCTGAGGAATGCCCGCATTAAGTGTTCAGGGGCCTCTGTGGTGACCTGAGTGCTGCATTTTTGGGAACGCTGCTCCATCACTGTAGTGTACAGAAAAGAGTAATGGGGACTCGAGTCTTCTTTACCCATCACACACAGCAGTGCACTCAAACACAGACCTGACGCTGATCAGACACACCAGAGGGTGCCTTCCAAATGCTGACACGATGCGGAAGGGTCAGGCCCTCCGCACAGCTGTGATTCAGAAGCTGCTCTGGAGAATGAAAGATCCATGTCGACAAGGCCCGAATTTTAAGGTGACTGTAGCCTGTGTCTTCAGAATGTGATTTACATAACTGCAATGTCTTTTAAGGTAGATTTTTCACTTAAATGTAGACGGTAATTGCCACTTCTCTTTGCTGATCTCAGTACATTTGACAGTCTTGAGAAATTCAGGTAGTGCAGAGAACAGGAAAAGAGCCTTAACGAGGAAAGTGCTTATCAGAAAAATGAAAGAAAGGCACGGATAATATTTAAGCAGGGACTTTGTGATATGTACATGCTGTGATTGCTGAATCTGTTACTAATGAAGGGACTGCACAGATTTTTTTCAGCACTTCACAAATATGGTGCTGTTTTCAGCACTTGATTTGCACTGCCCTAACTCTGTGTTTCAGGTATGTGCCGTGGAACCTTCATGAACAAACAAGAGGGAAGTTTGACTTCACTCAGGACCTGGATCTAGAGTATGTGGTACAGACGACTCTGTTATTAACTACTGCGGGTTTGAGGGGAGGGTGTGCATGTTGGCTCTGGATGAGGGTGGCATTGCCAGCAAAACCTTGATCTGGCAGTGGAGACTCTCATTTCTTCCTTTGCTTTCTAGAGTCCTGTAAAACTTAGAGGTTTAGCATCAACCCAGTACAGTTGCTTCATTAAGCAATTATCTTCTAGTTCTGGTACCTAAATTTCATGGAGACTGGCACATTAGCAGTGCATGAAGTAGGGATTCTTTAGTCAGACAGTAATTACTTTGTCTGCATCTCTAGGGCCTTCCTTTCGCTGGCAGCTAAAAATGGACTGTGGGTGATTCTGCGTCCGGGACCTTACATCTGCTCTGAATGGGACCTCGGTGGTCTGCCCAGGTAAGTGTGAGAATAGTTCAATTAATGCAAGCCTTCGGGACTTGGGGAAAAAAAGAAAACAGACAAAAATCATCTGATCATATAGCTGAGCCTCCTTCAAAGATTTAGAACAGATGTCTGTTAGATAGGAACTACTTGCTGTGTCCCCAGAGCAGGTGAATACTCTTAATGTTACTGAGCTCTCCTGTGGAGCACAGACAGTAAGCCTGGAGCCATAATCTTTTCTTCGAGCAGTTATTTTTTTTTAATAATAACCGTGTTATGGCTTAATGGTCACAGCAGGAAAATGGAATTGAGGAAACCCATCTTCTATTGCTGTTGCAACTTGATTGTCTTCATATGAATAGTAATATTTGCAGCTTCACATAAGAATTTGCTTTATCTCAGGTCCAGTTCAAAAGTCCTGCTAGAACATATATATGGCATACCGGACTTTATCACTGCCAGCCAACTTTTCCAACCTCCTACTATATTTTCTCTTAAATACACAGCTTGTTGGTGCGAGGCTTTGGGAGCTGTGTTGAATACGTCAGCACCGAGGCTTGCCTAGTTACTAGATCCCAGTGGAACCGGTGCCAGGCTACGTAGCACTTGTTTTCCATACCTTTGAAGAGCGTAAACCTCAGTGGAGACACTTGACAAAATTGAGGGGTTATTTCTTTTAATCTTTTCATTGTTTTTCAGTATGCCCTGCCTTTGGCATCCTGCGTAGTTCGGGTGCAGAACTGTGACTGTTTGTCAGGGACTTACTCCTGCTAGCATGGCTACTTGTGACCGGAGGTAGTAGCAAGTTCTGTATTTCATTATGAGAAGTGCACACGTTGTCAGTTGGTGCCAGGTCACTGGAATGTTTCTTTATCAGGCAAATAAAAAGATTCTGATAAAGAGCAACTGTCCTAGTCTCATTTTACACATGGGGAAGCATAAAGAGGCTGTGATTTTTGTGAGCCCGCTGGGCTGAATGTAGTGTGCAGGAGCTGAGTCTTTCAAACGTCTAGAAGCTCTATTAGTTAATGCCTTTTGCAGAGGCAAGGAAGGGGCAAGCTTACTCTGCTTAAATTGTCACAGCAGCATTTTGTTCTGTGCTTAAACAAATTGCCATTTCTGTGGTAGCCCCAAACAGCTAACTAAATCTTGTAAATCAGCAGTTGAAACCGTGGGACTAATTACGGGAACCTTTGCTTTGAATGATGACTGGAGTTTTATGAGGGAGCACTTGGTTGTAGAGTGCTCTTGGGGATGCAGGGAATTCCAAGTAACCTTTAGAGTGGTAAGCTTACCTTCAAGTCTTACTGGGAAAGTTAATGAAATGAGCTTACATCTCAGTGCTCAGCCTGAAATGCAGAACTAAAAGAAGGGTAACAGCTTGGCAATTGCAGTCAGGACTCCTCATTTAACAGCATGAGTGGTGGGTAGCCCCAGTTTGTCAGATTAGCTTTAAAATGATTCTGTAAAAACGTTCCTGTTGTGAAATATTCCTTTGCTCACGGCACACACAGCCAGGCAAATGCACTCCATGTACACCCCGTACTTGTAGTTCTGTGAGGGGTCCTTCCTTCAGCAATGAAAGGAAGGGGTTTCAGACCCCTCCTGTATTACAACGTGCTGTACAGATATGAGGTCTCTTTCGTACTTGCCCATTTTCTCTTCCATAATCTCCACTGAAGCCATCATTTAGGCAAACACTTTCTCTTGCTGTTGCAAACAGCACGTGAAAAGCAAGCAGGGCTCTGTTTTACCTTCTGCATTATTTCCATATAAATGTCTGCTGCAGTAACATTGTTTCCACAGTTATGTTTTTGTAGTGGAAAGTATCCAGCATAGCATTCCACTTTTAGTTTCTGCTCAAGAGGAAAAAACTTTTGACCCACAATCTGAATGTGTTTTGGTTGGGCAAAGGGTTTAAGAGGGAACTGAATAAACCACAAACGGTGTTGTTCACTGACTCACTGTGTTGTCCGTACCTGCACTGTGCACTTAGCCAAGTGACACAAAAGGATTGATGATTCCTGCCCAAATATGACTTAATGTCAATGAGTGGTGTTACCTCTTGCAGTCGTGCATGGACATGAGACTTTAATAGATCCTGTTTGCTGCTTTTCTTGCAGTTGGCTCCTGCAAGACCCAGAGATGCAACTGAGGACAACGTACAAGGGCTTCACCGAGGCTGTGGATGCCTATTTTGATCATCTAATGCCTATTGTAGTCCCTCTTCAGGCAAGTACAATCCATTTCACTCTCTGACCACAAGTGGGGATTATCCACACAGATGACTGCTGGGCTGTAACAGCAGCTTGTTGAAGCAACAGCGAATCTTCCAGCTTCACTTTAGGAACCGCTGTCAGCTGTAGTTGCCAGTGTCAGCTCTGCAGTTTGAGCCATTTGATTATGTTCTGTAGACTTTGGGAGGAGGTGCGGGTGGAGCTGACTCCATCTGAGACTCGTGCATCTTTCCTGCAAGTCAGCACCACCATGATTTTGGTCCTTCTGGTTAGAAACCACAGTGAACCTCTCCTTTCCTTTTCCAACAGTACAAGAAAGGAGGTCCCATCATTGCTGTGCAAGTGGAGAATGAGTATGGTTCCTATGCCAAAGACCCGAAACTACATGGCCTATGTTAAAAGGGTAATGTTGGCACGTTTGCTTATTTCTGTGTTGAATCTCACTCAAACCACCTTCCTTATAGCACTTTATTCAGAATAACTTTTGAGTATGACTTCAGGAAGCCTTGAAAGCATCAGTGCATAATCCAGATGGATTTCCCCTGGTATTTCTTTTGGTAGAGGACAAGACCCCGTATACACCTCTCACTACTGACAAACCAGAGTGCTCATGGCTTCCAGAGAAGAGGGCAGTAGGGAAATGGAGTATCCATAACACGTAGCTGGCCTTGAAGAAGTTGTCTCCTGCTGGTCCAGTTCTGCTTCTCTTGGACATTTAAGAAGGGTTTCTCCGTTCTTGTGCAATCTGAGGCTCAGTGTCAGGCAGGTTAATTTGCCAAATGCCTCCTTTATTCTCGTCAATCAGATGCTGATGATTCCCTGCCTCCAGGCTGCATGATCAAGTACTGGCCAGCACCCAAAGAGGCAAGGTTCTCCAGGTGAATCTAATATGGCTCTGACTGACCTGTCCATTTTTCCCCAGTACAATAGCAATGCAGACAGTTAACAAGATCTGCAGTTATGTCTCGCAAGGCTTTTTTTTTTATTTTATTTTAATTGAATGCCTAAAGTGTTACAGCACCTAAGAGAGGTTACCCATCCAGCAGTGTATGGGTATGTACTATGAACTGTGTGTTCCCTGCGCCTCTGCTACAGCATTATCAGACCCTTCTGAAACTCTTAGGGTACTCAAGCGTTATCCTGAGCGCCCTGAGGGTAGTTCTGGATCAGGTCATCTTATTGCTCAAAATGTATAGAGGCTCTTTAACCAAAGAAATCAAATGGCAAGAGTCCTAATCTGCTTAGAGCGGTGCTTGTTCCTGCACTAACTCCATCTTGTGGAGTGTTTTATTACTGCTTAGAAAGTTAAATATGGAGTACACATACAAACAAGTTACAGTTAATTGCCAGCCTGAGCTGATACTGTCAAAAATGTCTGTTTATCTACATAGTTTCCCTCCTGATGTCCTAGACCCAGTGATAAGCATGTAAGTAAATGGCTTTCAGGGCCCTAGATGAATGGGGCATAGAGACTGGTGTCTGAACAGTGTGCCAACCCCATTCTTGCTTTTCCATATCTCAGTGATGAAAGAGCTCATGATGCTTCACAGACTTGTTGGAACAGATAACGTTTCCTTGCCAGGCATGTGGGTGTATTTTGCAGTGCTGGTTTGTTAGATTCTGGTATTGTGGGCAATGTACATCTGAGGAACTCTGTGGTTAAAGAAGAAAATGTGGGAAAGCTGGATTTGCAGGGGGTTGCAACAGGGTCTGTTGAAGTTTGGGCCCTGAGCTGTGGATGTGGCAAGCTGGTTGCTTCACATCTGCACCTAGCATGTATTACCACGTTGTGATCCTCCTGGAATTAGTATAACCCATTTAAAATGAGCAAACAAAAACCCAGCAAAACCAACTCACACAACATCTGAAAGCCCTGTCTTTATCTTGCTCTTTTGGGTGCAGTGTCTTCACCTTCCAAACTGTTTAGGCCATCAAAGGGTGTTCTGCCACCTCGTCCACACAGTGTGATCTGGGATTAGCTGAGCACACACCTGTGTCTGCCTCAGACGCTGCTGCTATTCCTGGTTTCTCTGCTGCACTCTGAAATCCTGTAGTGCATTTCAATGCGTTTCAGCTCCCTGCCGTTGCTCTGGTTTGCACTTGATGAGTAAAAAAAAAAAAGTAAAAGCAAGGCAAGAAACTTAGCACTAAATGCAGTGCTCAAAGAGTCATCTTAATAGGACTTGTTAGAAATTCAAGTGTCTTCAGCAGCTGATTTTTATCAGGTAATAGTAGCTGTTCAGGTATTCATTTAGTGATGACACGTTGATAAACTAGCCAGGTTGTCTTAACTCGGAATTGGGTTTGTCTTTAATGCAGATTGTGTGTAAGGCTCCAGTCTGCTCTGTATGCACAGCGTGTACGGGCATGTGCAACCTGCAAAGCTTTGTTTAAACATACAGCAGACGTTGACTAGTTGGTGCATGTGACACGGGTGACTCCTGTGTGAACTCCTGTATCTTTATCACCACTTTACAGTTAGTAATTTAGTATCAAGAGTTTCAAGGCTTGTTTTCAGAGCTCCTTGAAGCTGATGGAGTCACTTTCAACACAGGTGCAATGGAAAGGGGTTAATTTGCACCTAGGAGTTCCTAACCCCTCTTTCACACACCAACCGCTGTTCTGTCAAAGGACAAGCGTAAGAGAACACTCCTAGATAGAAGAACCTTGGGTGTGCATGCATTGTAAAAAAGTTCAGAGTGCTATTACAGACAGCCCTGTGATATCGAAGAACTCATAAATTCATTCAGGCAGGATTATTCAAGAGCAAAGGTACCTGAGCTGTCCTGGGGTGGATACATGCACTGGCAAACCAACATTTTTCTCTTATCAGCTTCTGTTGTTAGACTGTAAGGAATGGTGATTTGTTTTTTTTCTACCACCTAAAGCATTTCTTTTCATGGAATGCAGTGAAATCATTAAACCAATTTCAGCAGATAAATTTCTGATGTGTCAGTGAAAAGCTGATCCAGCTTTTAAAAACAAAACAGGATTTTTCAGTTGTTTTTGAGCTGGAAAAAATAGGCAGGAAAACTTCAGGAGTAACGAGAGGTGTCACAGGAATAATATTTTTTTATTGGACTATTACTGATTTCAAGTACCTGTCTTGCTTTCACTAGAGAAGGTGATAATGTAGTTTAATGCTTTAATATCCTGACAAATACGAAACTCAGGCTGTTAACACAAAGGTTTTCCCTCTTTTTAATTTAGGCCCTGTTAAGCAGGGGGATTGTGGAACTGCTGATGACCTCAGACAACAAGAACGGGTTATCCTTTGGCTTAGTGGAAGGAGGTATGTGCTTGTAGGAGAACCAGGTAAGGCCATGTTCTTTGTTGGGGGCACCAGGTGAAATCACAGAATGTTGGGGGTTGGAAGGGACCTTGAAAGATCATCTAGTCCAACCCCAGCCTCTGAAAGGAGAAATGCAGCCCCTGAAGGAAAGCAGAATGATTCATTCACCAAGCTGCACCCCTAACTGCCTCCTGTTTGTGGTAGGAGCTCCAGCCACAGAGGAGGGACTCCTTCAGCTGCGTGGTACACACACTGAACAAAACCAGCCCCTTCTCAGAAGGACTGAGTAATGTTTTCATTACAGAGTGTAACAGTGATTGCAGGATTGCTCCACAGGGAGGCAGCCTCTCTGCTTTCAAGGATTTCAGATACATGCAGGCTAAATGTCTCATACAGGGCATCAGTACTTCCCAGTGAGGTTAGTCAGAAGATGGCAGTGCCTAGCATTTCTTAATGCTGTTTCCACCAGATTAAAAGGCTGGTTTTGAAAATACTACTGCTTATTGCTTCACTTGAATCTACGTAAAATAAGTCTCCCAGCAATTACTACTGCTAATAATTTAGTCCTAAGATACCTGCTCTGCAGTTAAGAAGATAAAGAGTCCACCAGAGCCTAGCTTCTGAACTCTAACTTTCTGGAAGCCTAGCAGTAGTTTCTGAGGTAGCCTTGTGTTCCCGGTGAGTGTGCTCTATAGAGCGCATCCCTAGGAGGGTATCAGATGTGCACAATTCAAAAGGATTTCTATTTCCTCTTTCCCTTAAAAAGTGTAAATCCATTAAGTGTATAAAACACTGCTTAGCACCTTTCCTGCTTTTCACTGTGGAAAAAATGGAGGTACAAATGTTGTAGCCTCACCATGCCCTAAATCAGACTCCTTGGGGGCATAGGGTGATGCTGGCTTTCAGATTTCTGAATGCAGCTCAGCTGGGATTTACTTAGCTACTTGATCTGTGGTCTCTTGGGTGTTTCTGCTAATTGCCTGCCTGAGTAGCCATTGTTTCCCCAAATTAAGTGTTCAGGGTACAGTCCTGAGTGTTCCTGTTGTCACTCAATCATAAATACCATTAAGTTTCTAATCTCAGGTATGGAGATGATTAAAAGGAAAATTTTTCTTCCGTCGTTCTTTTCCTCCTCTTATTTTTATACGAAAGTATGAGAGGGACAAATTCAATAGCTCTGAAATCCACAGGCCTTCACTGAGAAGTACAGCGACCCTCTTAATTTTATATTTCTGGAGCAGAGCAGTTTCCAGCCTTGACCACATCGTGTCACCCTCATCCTGCCAGCAAGCTGACGTTCAGAAGGGCTGGTGTGGAAATGCCCCGTGAGCCCTCACCATCCTCTCTGGGAGTGTTTACTGCCTCAGAGCTCATTCGTGCTTGGAGCTGTCTTTTCCAGCGTGTTGCATGCTGAGAGCTCTTTGATACCAATTTGCCTCTTAGATGTCATAACAATCTGCTCATTAGAGTCAACATGTCAAGTAATCAGATGCATGGGATAAGTAGGGCTCGGAGTGCTACAGCAAGGCGGTTATGAAAATGCAAAGGGGGAGAGAACAGAATCCAGTGTAGGAATGCTTAAGAAAATAGAGAGGAGACTCCTTATAGAAGTTGAAAAATGTTGTGGTTTTGTGAGTTTTTTTCTGTTCCTTAGTGATGTACCAATTTCAAGAAGAATTTGTAGATTCTTGTTAATGTCAGGAGCAGTCAGTTTGGCGCTCTGCAGAGAAAACTGTGTGTTGTAGAAGGACCTGAGAGTACGAAGCTGTTGCCTAGCACTTAATCAGTGGTTGTAGCAGTGTTTCGGGGAATGTAGCAGTGTTTCGGAAAACTTTGGTTGTTGTGGTCCCTTTCATGCTCACAGGTACAGTGGGACATCCCATGCTGTTGGGAAGAATTCTCGGTCTGGGTATCTGTGCAGCTTCCACAGTCCTCCTCCCTTCGTGGCACAGGCAGTGACAAGAATGCCGAGCTGGGTGGCTCTAAGCTGGCCTGGAACAGCCCTCCTGGGAGCTGATGGGTGACAAAATAAAACTCTGAATTCCCTCCAGACCATAGCTGCTGCACCACATCGGAAAGCGATGTGTGTTTGGAAATTACCTAATGTGGGAAGGGTGGATAAGGGCTTGGGGACTGGTTCTCCACACCTTTTACATCATTTTCAGTTGAGTGCTGTTAATCTGTGTGCAGAGCAGAGTTAGACATGTTTGCCTTCAAGATCGCAAGCTAATGCCTTCCATCGATGCTAAATCCACATTTTGTTTTGCTTTCCCACTGTGTTTGCCTGTGCTAAATTCTTCAGCTCAGCACACTATGTAGATGAGCCTATTAACATCAAGGTATAAATAGTGAGAAGCTTTTGCTTCTGGAAGTATTCTGTTTGAAGTGCTCTGTCTGACACAACTGGGGCTGGGTTTGATACCAGCTCTCTGGTAAGGAGTCAGTGTTTAAAACAGGATCACATTGCTCCTGCAATTTCAAAGTTTCTTGGGAGAAACATCAGAGTGACTGAGGGGTAGAAAAGCAGGAAAATGAATCTAACATCTCGTAGGGGCTGGGATGTGGGTACCACTACTGCCTTGGGATGCATCAGCTGCTGCAGACCGGGCTTCCCACGCTGGTGCTTGAAGCTCACGCACCGACTTTCACTGTACATGCAGCACACACCAGCTAAATGCCTGTTCCCCCATGCTGCTCAGGGCAGGAGCCCAGATAAGCCTTCCAATTACAACTTCTGTCTGGTTTGCTTGTGCTGTGGTTCCTCTCGCCCACCCCCAAGGCACGACAAGCTGGAAGATATTGCCTAGGTAGAGATTCCTGCGGCTAAAGTCTGGGAGATCAGTGCGGCATCCAGATAGGACTTTCTAATAATAAGTTTGCCTTCATGTGGTGCCTTTTATCTGAGGATCTCCAAGTGCTTTACAGCCTCTAATTAAAGCTTGTGACAGCCGGTGAGGTGCTCTGATGCTTGCTCTTTCTAGTATCTCTGAATGTCAGAGCTAAAAAGCTGCCCTGCAAATACTCCACTGTGTGCTGTGGTCCACTTAGATTTTGCATACGGAGTGAAGGCTTTGATGGGAAATCTCCGAGGAGGTTGTGTTGGTGGTTCAGATATGTTCCTGTTCCCCCCGGGCTTGTGTTGAGCTGGTGCCTGGAGAGGTGCTCCCCTAGGCGAGAACACTTTGTATGTGTCTAAATTAATAAAGGTTTTTCTTTCCTCGATAGCACTGGCCACTGTTAACTTTCAGAAACTGGAACCCGGTGTACTGAAATATCTGGACACAGTACAGGTAAGATGCAATCGTATTTTGTTCATCTAGATTTTCCAGGACAGCATTGCGAGTGGTATTTGGGAACTGCTGTTCTTGTTCAGCTTCTCCGGGGCCATTTCCACTTTTATGATGGTTATGAAGCTAATCCTAGAGCCTGTCATTTGGGCAATAGGAAGTTTCAAAGGCCTGTGCATTTAGCCTCATCTCAGCAGAAAATTGGTGCTCCACAATTGGAATTCTTGCTACTCTTTGAGTGAAGGCAGCAAACCCCTTGTTACTCAGGCTTTATAAGGACTGGGTCTGCAAAAGGTTCCTACGTAATGAGTTAGAACATTCTGGAGGGGCATTAGTCCAGCTACTGTGCTAGAGCATGGCACAACCACACCAACTGCTGTAAAAGAACAGGACACTGACATCTGGTGATAGATGCACTTTGTCACAAAGCCACGAGGTACACGAAACTAAATTATTCCTCTTTCCTTGGTTGAATTTGCAGGTCTGCTTGTGTATGTCCTTTTTAATGCCTAACAGATTTGAGTGGCTGGTAATTCTTTTCTGAATATTCAGTGATTGATTAAGTAATTAAAATGAACATGTTTTGGCAGGAGAAGGCACTCTCCAGAAGGCTTTCTGGCAAACATACTTTCTGTAGTGCTGGTCCAATGTGTACCAGTGGGGAGGACAAAGGAGAATACAAAGCACAAAGCTGGTGGAGCTGTCTGGATCACTGAGCAGGCGTCCTGTTTGAAGGCCCTGATCTGACTTGCCTACCAGGGCTTCTGTGGTTCTGTGACGTTTGCAGCTGCCGATCCCCAAGAAAAAGCCACAACTGTCAAACAGGCAGCACAAGGTTCAGCTGTTTGGCTTTCCAGGTTCTAATTCCCACCTTCATTGCTATCTCTGTGTTGAAGCACTGATACCCAGTGATCCTAGTTGGCAGTTAGTCCTCTCTCTAGGTCAGTGGTCTCTCTCCCAAGCTCTGGTACCCTGATGCTGTGGAGGCCCCCAAGAAGAGGCATCTGGACTGACCGTACTCTTCAAATGCTGGGGGCTGACTTACTGCAGTTCTTTCAGGGTACTCTGTGAGGGGTATTTCAGTCATCTTTAATGCCTCGAATTCAGTGTAGGTACACAGCGTGGTAATGGCATGCTGTGTAGAAGAGAGTCTTGGCTCCCTCAGGCATTTTGTCCTATTTCTGCTAGGACCTGCAGCAGAGCTGATCAGAGGAACGCTTGGATTTCAGAAACACTTCCCCAGGAACTTCACAGCAGCACCTTCCACACAGTGCAGTCCCAGGCTCTTCCTGCCTGCTGTGCAGCCCAGCCTACCTGGCAGCAACAGCGCTCACTGCAGAAAAACATTCACATTTCGTGTGTCACTTGAGCACCTCGAAGTCCCCGTGCTGTCAGAGATGTGAATCAGCATGAAAGGGAGAGGGAATTGCCTAACGAACATCTGATGCAGAAAGTACCTTGGGTGATGCTGGAGTAGTGAGGCAGGAACAAGTTTTGTTTTCTAGTGACTGGTTCTCTCTCTCCTTTGCCTTCTTTCCCTGTTGCTCTGCTAACACCAAGTGTCAGCCTGGAAAGTTGTGAACAACTGGCGAGTGCTCCTGGCCACGATCGATTCTTTTCTGATCTCTTCCCTTGGCTTTTGCCTAGACTGTGAAATGAAATGCTGTTGGCGTGCTGAAAGCTGAATCCTGCCACTAACTTTCTTTTTGTACAGGCAAAAGAGGCTCTGCTGCATGTGCTTTTGCTTTCTTTAGGTCTTATAAAACTCCTCAACCCTTGCAAATGAACAGAAGGCACCTTCCCCACAAACTGAATATACAAATACAACATGGCCCAGTAAAAGCAGCTCCTCCTTTGTCACACTTAGTAATGACAAGATAGGAAGCCTGTCATTTATATCTGCAAGGATTATGAAGCTGTTACCTCTTGTTATGGTCTCTTATTCCAGAGGACAATAAAACTTCTTTGACTTGTTTACTAGGGATGGATTGATTAAACATATTACCAAGAGCCGCTCTGAATCTGGAACAAGTAGATTATTACAGGCACCTGCAGTTGTTTTCTCCTAATGAAACATGAGTTTCTTTAATGCCACTTACCGTGGCCATTTCATGTGACATCAGATAAAGCCCCTATCAAATAAATGCCAAAATTGCCTTGACTAGAAATAAATACCAGGAGCAGAGAGTGCCAGCCAGGCCGAGCACACGTTGTTCTGTCCGGTGTGATGGGGCCGTGTGGAATTCGACAGGAGCTAAGGTAGCTGGCAAGCAGTGACAAATAGGAAGCAATAGCTCTGTGTGCAGAGCCTTTTTAATGAATACCTAATTCCTGCAAAGGCTAATTCTTTCCTGCCAGCACCATATGCAGCATTAAAAAGGCATTAAGCCGCTAAGGTCTGCTGTTCCTACCTTGGCAGGCATTGGCTGCAGTGCACCTGCAAACTCTCAGCTGGCAGTGGCCTAGCTGATAAGTAGACATATATAAATGTCTTTTTCTCACAGAAGCTAAACAGTGACAGTTGGTTTGTCTTTTTGCTACAGCTCTACCAAACAACAATAGCCGGAACTGTTTGGTAGCACCTGATTGTGTGCGGCAGTGGTTGTTTCATCCCTAGAAGAGTATTTTTCTGCTTTTCCTGCTGTTTCTGGATGTTACCGGCCCACATTGTCTTGTTCTTCATTTGTTCAGAGCTCTTTAGCTGCTTTTTTTTTTTACCAACTTGAGACCCGTTCTTGTAAACCATGCTCTTAAGCTTCATTTGAATAGTGATTCCCTAGAAAACAGGGATGAGTGCAAGGCTCCCTATGTCCATTTTAACTCTTTGTTTTTGTTTTGGTGCAGAGAGATCAGCCAAAGATGGTAATGGAGTATTGGACTGGCTGGTTTGATAACTGGGGAGGCCCTCACTACGTCTTCGATGCAGACGGTGAGCACCATACAGTACTGCAGAGGGAGGAATTAGTGCTCTGCAAATGCTTATGGAAAAATGACTCACAGCTTTTTCAAATACTCCCTCCATCTTGTAACCTTTGCTTTGTGCGAGTCTTTGTAAATGAAGAATCTCTCAGTGAATGGGTCACATTGCTGTGCCTTGGATTTTCTTTAGAAGTGTTGGTTAACAGCAGCTTCATTTTTAATGTTTGTTTTCCAAACCATTTTTCTTTTTATTTATTGAGGAAAGGCACTATGGGCTTGTGCAGAAAACCAGACATCTTAAGATGTTAGTGTCAGTGTGTCCCAAGGCTTCATGCTGTTCTATGTTGACGTTAGAAATGTAACCCAGTGCTTTAAATCATCCCTTCCACCTCCTGAGCTCGTGTAAACACTGTGAAGACTTTATTTGGATTTTGTAAAAAGGCTGTCTTTGCAGAAGTTTTCTGAAGCCCCCATCATAATGACATTACTTGCCTAGTAAATAAATGTTCCTTATGAGGGGAGAATTATTTTACCTTTTGTAGGAATATGGCAAATATACATCTCCTGCAACTATGGCAGCTTCTGTAAAGTATCAATTTTTCCTCCAGTGTAGAAGCTCATTAGGAAGGAAAGCTAGTGCTAAAAAAATAACCCCACAACCTCCAGAACATCCAACGTACAGTGAAAGCAGACCTATGTAAGACTACTTTAATGACTGGTTCATCTTCTGCTGTTGTCTTTGGAATTAGATCATTGCTGTGTTGAATTTAGGAGTACAACTGAGTAGTTCTTACAGCTCTTCTGATTAAAAGCAAAACTCCTGCTCATGTCCATGAGTTTCACTCTGTCACCTCTATGAGAAGTATATTTGCATTTATTAATCTGTCCCAGTATGTCAGTGGACATGCTGCCCTTAATGAGGGCAAAGCATGAATCACAATACAAATCCCTGTAATTACACAGGCATGCCTGACTGACAAGGACCAGAATACTTGTCTGCTTTGAATTGCTGGAAGAGTGTTAGCCTAGCTTCTTGGTCTGTGGTCTTCCTGGCACTGCCCTTCCTTTACAGAAATGGTGAATACTGTAGCAAGCATCCTCAAATTAGGAGCATCCATCAATCTCTACATGTTTCATGGAGGCACCAACTTTGGCTTCATGAACGGTGCTTTGGAGACTGATGAATACAAGTCAGACGTCACCAGTTACGGTGAGTTTTGTTTCACTGCCTTGCCCACACACATCCTGTGAGAATGCAGCTCAGGCTCCCCTTTGGGCCAGTTAGAGTTGACAGAAGGATGGAGAAATGATCAGTACGTCTCCCCATGATCTCCTTTGTCATGGAGAGATGAATTGGAATGTGGCTCAGAAGTCTAAAAGGGGGTTTACATTAGGGTTTCCTATTTCCACACCCATTCCAGGGTGTAGAGGATCCCCTCATTCTGGACTGGGAACAGAAGTCACAGATAATTGTGTTGCTTCATGTTACGTCCAGGCTGGCTCTTCTTTCTAGTGAAAGCTGGTGATCTGAGATGCCATTATGTCTTTTGTTTCACCAAGCCATGTTGTACTGTAAAGCTCTTTTCATCCCAGCAGCCCATGGTTGAAAATTGATCCTGGGTGAAATTTTGGACACATGTGCAGGTTAGATCTCTCGAAGGATGTTGCTCCCCAGTAAGTGGGCCTTCTCCAAATTAAGAGAATCTGTATGCTTGTCTAGCCACATCCATGCTGATAGAAGACTGAGTTTCCATAACACGATGCTAATTGTCTTGGGCTTTTACTTCTTAGATGACAGTGTGTGTGAAGGCCATCCCAGATGTGTGCTTCTTTTTCAGATTATGATGCTGTGCTGACAGAGGCTGGAGACTACACATCCAAATTTTTCAAGCTTCGACAACTCTTCAGTGCAATCATTGGTAATTATAAATCCAGGAGCCAAAATGCTGTTCTAGCCTACGGCGCTAAATCAGAGACTTGTGCAAACTGGCCCTTCTGCTGGGGCCCTGTGGTTCTGGTTGGCTCTGCCTGGGAGCATTTTCCACAGGATGGGAGGGAGGACCAGGGACATTGGGTATTTCATCTGCTATCAGCAGGCAGGTAGCATTTAGCAGCTTCTGTCTGTGCCAGGAAGTGTATGTTGGCTAATTGGAAGTGCAAATCTGAAGGGAGCACCACTGGTTATATTATATCTTTGTTACTGTACCTCAGTGTTTCTGTTCTAGAGCCAGACAGGTGGCCATTGTTGCAGAATAACTGTAGTTCTCACCCAGCGCTTATACTTTTTTATTTTTTTTGCAGCAGATACAGGGCTCTATAATGGAAAGACTGATCAAATGAAGTCTAGAAGGGCCTTAAATCTGTGACCTTATGCATCTGAAATAGTTGTTCCATCTTTCTTTCCTTTTGCATCACAGGCCAGCCTCTTCCTCTCCCTCCCATGATTGAAAGCAAGGCATCATATGGTGCAATCCTGTTGCATCAATACATCTCTCTCTGGGATGTGTTACCGTCTCTTATACAGGTAGTACGACCAATTTTAATGCATCTCGGCACTAAAAGGCATCACCTCTTAGGTGGAAAAGTCAGTGCACTGGCATGTTATCCTGTGAGGATAAGGGTGGGGAATGTTTTGTCAAGGATATGCAAAGGAGACACACCTTTTTATCTTAGACTTTTTACTGCTACTTCTGTTCTCCTGGGATTCCAGTTTTGCAAGTCCTTGGCTCCCTTTCCTGGTGCCTTGTCTTCGTTGCTGTAGCTTTTATGGGGTTGTAAGGTAATTCAGGTTGGAACAGACCTCTGGAGGCTTATGGGGTAGCTGTAATCTGTGGCAGAGTGGAACGCCTATCTCAATGAATTGCCACTAAGTGGCCTGTTGATGCTCAGAGGCCACTTCTGACATTAAACTCGTTTCTCCTTTGCAGCCTTTTAAATCAGAGTTTCCAGTTAACATGGAGAACCTCCATCTGAATGATAGCAGTGGGCAGTCCTATGGATATGTACTCTACGAGACTGTCATATTTGGTGGTGGACACCTGCATTCGAGGGACCACGTCCGTGACCGAGCACAGGTAAAGAGGACAGGGAAACTCTGAGTAACTTCACGTACATCAGTGCTTTGATCTGGGCAGAAAGTGGGCCAACCATGGAGTAAAATAAATGTGAGGTTTTAGATTAGAAGTGTGTCTTGTTCTCTCAGTTCTCAGTGAGGTCTCAACCCTTTCAGCTTTCTACTGAAACATCTTTAAAGATCAGATTATTGAATGTTCTGATAAATGTTGTTTGTGAATCTTTTTTCCACTAGACTGCATCAGTAACAGAGCTGTGGAACCTAGGATCCAGTTCCCAGTAGAGACAGTTTTCTCCCCAGATACAGCTCCAATAACCAATGCAACACACGATTACAGTAGAATTGATTAGATGTTTCTCTTCTCCCTTGTGCTCTGTTCTGCAGGTGTTTGTTAACACCATGTATGTTGGTGAGCTGGATTACAACACCGTGGAGCTCTCCCTTCCTGAAGGACAGGTAAGTGGGGATTGTTCACAGCAACAGTATGTGGGTAACAGAACCAAGACCTCTAAAGAGGCGTAGCTCTCAAGAAGGCACCCCCCACGTACTCCATTTAACTAGCTAGGATGGTACTCTGGCACAGAGAACAGCTGTTACACCCTAACAAGACACAATTTCACTAGTGAAACACAGCACGATTTCACTACCAAGTTATTCTTTGCAATTAAGATATGTTTTTTTTGAATACTCTGCCATGGAGCAGATCCAAGTCAGTGCAGTCCCTGCTGTGTAAAATTTGCCAGCCTGCCCGCCACACCCACAAACTGTAGACATCAAATGTAGGCGCTCTGTGTAAATGAAGTCTTCCATGTTCGTGTCCATGTTCGTCTTCCTCAGCACAAAGCAGGGGCTTTGGGGGCTCTTGCACCTGTTGGGTCTCAAATGAAACAAGGGGGAATGTCTCCCTCCAGCTCTGATGGTAACCTTAAGCTGGCAGAAGCTGCCAATAAAAATAGTAGATTGATTGGATGCATTTCAACAGAGCTGTGCATGGCCTCTAGGACTGTGTGAGTGGGTGTATGTGCTAGATGTTGTTCTTATGACTCATGGCTAAGCTACATGCCTGCACTGTGTCAAGCTCCATTTCTGGCTCTCTGTGTGTGAAATCAAAATGGTACTTAAAATTTCAATGGAAAAGGAAAAAAAATAAACCTTTTTTTGAAAAGACAGAGTTCCTCAGCAAATAGATGAATTGCAACTGCCAAAGGTACGGTTGCTACCTCATCTCCTTAACACCTCTACTGACCTTTGTTTATCAAGCATTATGGCTGATGCAGCACACGCTGTGCTCTGGTCTAGCTGATGCTCTTCCATTTCTTTTTTTTTTTTTTTCTTCCAGGGATTCAGGCAGTTAAGACTCTTAGTAGAGAACCGTGGTCGTGTCAATTATGGCCTGGCACTGAATGAACAGAGGAAAGGTAAGTTAGGTTCTTTGTTCTTGTAGCCTCAAACTGTCCTAGATAGCTCTGAGATCAAGCACTGTAAAACTGTCTTTCTTGAGCACATTACCCAGAATCAAGCTGAAGACCCAGTGCAGCCATCCTAGTTATAGTCAGGACATCGGGGGGACAGTAAGATAGAGGGAACTTGTAAACTAACAAAAAAACAAAACCCAATGAAACAAAAAAAAATGCACAAACAAAAAACACAAAGCCATCAGTGAATCTTATTCTACTCCAGTTTTGCCTGGTGACGTTAGGGTACCCATTTCTCTTGCTCTGTAAGCGTGTTACTTCAGACAGAAAAGAACTTTTCTAATCTCTGCTTTCCCCTGGGGTTTGATACTGAAGGATCACGGCATTTTAAAACTCACACAATATTCAACGCATTTGGGAGGAATAAATTGCATCCTGTTGAGCAGAATTTGCTGAAATGTTCAAGTCCATTACATACAGTTGTGGAGCTGAAAGAGGTTGAAACCCCAGGATTCTATTTTAGTGGGGAAATGTATGCAAAAAGTATACAAAATAGACTAATGGAGTTAGGCATGTGACTGTACTAATTTTATTTTACTGCAGAGGAGGTGAATAAAGCCTCTGCTGCTTAGGCAGTCTCAACTGCAGCCCTGTAATTAGGGAGGGGGCTTAGACTAGGACCAAGATTTGACCACTCTATGGAGACTACCTAACAAGAGAGGGCTAAGGGTAAATTACTTGTTAAAGTGTCTTAAGATCCCTAGATGAAAAGCAGTGGATAAGCACTGGACATTACTGCTTCCACCTGTTAAATTTTGCTGTTCCTATTAGAGAAGTAACTGATCTACTGCTTTAAAAAATCTATACATGGGCAGCTAACTAAAAAACTGCAACAACAAAACCCCATCTGCTGTGCGTGCCAGCAATGTTTTCTGCTTGGAGGGTGTTTAACGCCTTAGTGAGTTAAAGCAAGGGAGGGAGTGGAGAGGCCAAAGTATAGTAATGTTCTCCACTCAGTCTGGATGAGCAATGGGACCATATGGACTCTAATTCCATTGCAGAATGTGGCTGCTTTCCATCTCCTGCTGTTCCTCGCATTCAAATAGGAAAATCTATCAGCTTTAGCTGCTTTTCAACTCTTCATTACCCCCATTGCTCTTGCAGGCTTAATTGGTGACGTCTTCTTGAATAAAACCCCCTTGAGGAACTTCAAGATTTACAGTTTGGAGATGAAACCTGACTTCATGAAAAGGTTTGTGGGATTTTAAAGATTTTTCTTGCTCATTTGAAACTGTTTAGCAGCAGTACAAAACCTAATCAGTAGCAGTTAAATGCGTATCAGAAAGGCAGTGCTACGTACAAGTAGGTCAGTGAATTTTTGCACTGGAAGTTCCTTGCTGATACCCGTGCCCAAAATAGCACAGACAACTGTACCACTTTCTCCCTGCCACCACTGAGGGGCAAAATGTATTCCCACTGTGGAGAGTTTAAAGACTTCCTCACAGCCCATATTGCAGGGTTAGATCGGGTAGGTAAAAGTGTGGCTTACCCAAAGGGGTGGGTCCCAGCACACCCACGTGTTGGAGAAGGTGGTGCCTTGCTTCAAATTAGCAGTCTGGCTGATATATTTAGTAATTAAACTCACGAGGGAAGGATTAATTCTAGGGAGCTACTAATAGTACATTAACAAGTCCAGATGGCTTCCTCTCTTCCATGCTTTTGAAGTTATTTTGCTTTAATTCAAGGAAGACTGAATAAGTCTTGTGGGGTAAGTCAAGGAGCCTCCGTTAGGTTTCTGTCAGAAAATCTTAGCAAATGTTTAAGGCAACAGATGCCCTGTGGACTCCGGCCAATGTTCCAAAAAGACTATTTTCAGTCATGTTGTTAATACAAGAAGATAACACATGTGCATCCCCTAAGATATCACAGCTCCCACATTTTGTGTAGGAAGGAGAGGGAGGCGATGTTAAACTGAAATGGCTTTTAAAAGAAAAAAAAAAACACACAGCATCTTGAGGACAAGCTTAACAGGTGCTGGGGTGCTACATGAAGGACTCTTATTGATGGGGTAAGCTGCATAACCTTTGTCTGCAGCGTTGTTTTAGAAGAGTATTTCCAGTGAGGCACATTATAGCGAGTGACCTGCCATGCCCAAACAAAAAGCAAGATTAGTCAACGCTACAGTCAGTTACTGGCAATTGACCAGTAGCAGTGAAACACAATCAGCTTACAGTCGCTGCGTAGGAGGATGGAGCGCGTGGTGTTGTGAAAGGAATTGTCGTAGGCTTTTAGCTGAATAATTCAGTAGCAGTTAAGCTGCACTGGATCAATAAATTCGCTGATTCCAAGAGATGCAGCTCATAAGGGTCGGAAGGAATGTGTTCTGACATAAGCTCAAGGCTTCTGTGGGACTTCTACACTCCTTATTTGCTGTTCTGTTTGTCCTCTGCTCCCAAATTGTTGCCACAGGTAAGAAATAATGTCAGATTGCCCCCAGTTACCGCAAACTTGCACAGTTGTGTTCATGTTCCGTGATAGGATTGGTTTCTTGTAATTGCATACAAAATTAAAATGCTGCCTCTAGATTGGCAGACCAAGCTTTCTTTGCTTTAAACAGGATCAAGACCCAGGTACTAGTTGCATGACACAACTTCAGCATAATCCCAAACATTTGATCCCAAACACAGTCAGCTGTTGTGAGTCCTGCAGCTAAAGCTTTAGCACAATTTCAAGGGACAGTAGATCTATGGAGAGTGTGCAAGAAAAATGCCTGAGATTGTCTGTATTGAAGGATGGGTAATGATTCCAGCCAAGTATTCAGATACTCCTGACTAGATCATTGTTTGATCATCAGCTCTGTGCAGTGCTGTGAGCGCTGTCTTAACGTTTCTTGAACACATTGCTGTAATATGTAAATGCAAAGAGCAGTTCAGATTCCAGTCACCTGTAAAGAATGTGTCAGCTTTGCTGCACTGCATTGAGCCTAACTTCACAGTCTGTGCCTTAGCAAGCCTCGGTTCTGTGGTTAATCATAAAATAAAACCACCTAGCTTGCTGTGTTCTATCAGGGCAGGAAGGTCTGTTCTGAATCGTACCAGTTCTGCAGGTTTTAGGTTAGACCGTGCAGGCCACGTGCATTTAGCAACCTTATTGTATAAAAGCTCATCCACATTGGTTTGAAATGATCCTGAGGCTTCTGTTGGATCTCCCAGTGCTGCCTGGTGCTTCCCTGCTGTTAGCTAAGTTTGGTTGTTCTCTTACAGCTTGCAGCAAGTTGCTGGATGGAGTGCGGTCCCAGATTACTTCGTGGGTCCTGCTTTTTTTCGTGGAAGGCTGTGGATAGAGCATCAGCCACAGGATACTTTCTTGAAGCTACAGGCAAGTCTTTGTCTTTCCCCGCCATTTTTTTCCTTCAAGGTTTTCAGAAAGCTGATGAGAGAGGGCTTTGTGTAACAGCTCTGCATGAGTCAAGGCCACTGTCTTGCCTTCCTCTGATCTTTGAGAAAATTATCTTGCAAATTATTTTGAGGGTGCAGAAGCCTAAAGCTGGCAGGTAATTCTGTTCAGTCTGTGGTGGCCCTGATGAGAAAACATGGGCAACGCTGACCCTGCAGAACTGCTGATGAATGGTTAGTCTTGTTCATTGATACACAAGTGCTGTTTCTTTTCTAGTTGCAGAAGATTAATGGCCACAAAAAATAAAGGGGGTGCTAGTTTTATCCCTGTCTCTTCATGTGGTTTGGGAAGAATCGCTTCTTTGTAGACACAGCATGAGAGTTAGCATTCACATCTTGCATCTGGGGAAGATTCCTCCTCTTGCACAGAACACAAGACAAGATATTAACTATTATTAAATTTCCTCCTCTGATTTCACTCCCTTAGAGCCACCCCCTATGGTTCAAGCTAATCATTATTGTGCCATTCACCTCTCCTTTTATGATTTGTTGTAATTTACGCTAGTCAATAGCAGTACAGTAGTCCTGTCGCTTGGGAAATAGGTGAGGGAAGATGTTCTGTGCTTACGAAGAAATAAAGATGTGCCTGTTTGAATCAAGTTTTCTGTGTGACCATGAATCACAACTTGCTTGTTTTTGAAAGCTTTATCTTTTTAATTAATTCTAAGAGTGTTAAGGATAACTCCCGTTCAACAAGGCTTGCTTAAATGTTCCTGGTTTCAGGGAGTTGTACAGGGAAAACGAATGGAAAACCTGCACGAAGTGGCTAGAAAGAGTGCAAGTGTTAAAGTAGGCTGAGTTTCCTGTGGGGATGCCAGACACAGCTTCATCAGTCATTCTGTGTGGTGTCCTGATTCCAGGGCTGGGAAAAAGGAGTTGTGTTTGTCAACGGTCACAACCTCGGCCGCTACTGGAAAATTGGACCTCAGGAAACACTCTACCTTCCTGGCCCCTGGTTACAGAAAGGGAACAATGAGGTGAGAGCCTTTGGTGGGGTTTCTCTTTTTTGTATTAGCAAAGATCCTGCTCTGGGTCACATTCCAAAAACACGTGAAGTGCATTAATTAGCTATCTGCAGCTGAGAACCAGCACTACAACAAAGGAAGAAGACTGTTATCTCCTAAGATCCGTGAAAATTAAGGAAGGTGCTGCTCTAAAGCTGAGAACGTGGCTCTGACAACCATTAAGACACGAGGAGGATGCCAGCTAAACTTCAAAGCGCGGCATCAAGTTCAAAATCAAGACAAATCTGATTTGGTGCTAGTTCATTTTCTGCATCATGTAGTGCTGAAGAAGAATCAGTTACTGCTCAGACTAATATTGATCGGTCTCTTTAACTGATGCTTCCTTCCCCTGCCGTGATTGTATGCCCTTTACCTCTATGAATTTTTTAAGTAACTCGGTCTTTGTATGAAGGTACATTACGTGTCCCTCTCTCCTGCAGATTGTCATTTTTGAGGAACGCACTGCAGGACGGATAATTCAGTCTGTTGACATACCTTACTTAGGAAGGACCCAGTACGTGGACTGATGGGAGCTTCTTTCCCGTGTTTGGTTCATCTTGAATATTCCTGGTTGCATGTCTGGGGACACGATGGCCCGGGCACTTGGGCATCTTAATTTCCACTAGACCCAGGTAAAGGATTTGCTTGTTGGCAGTAAGCTCAGAAGAGAGGATGGGCCCCGAAGGAACCAGAGTCCATTGTTGCGTTGATGGATGCAGAAGCTCAGCTGCCTGCACTACCAAGGACCCGTGGCTCGGGTGACTGTGCATGATGTTACGGACAGTCTGGTGAATGTGGGGAGTAAAAAAGCGCTGGAGGTGGGGAGAGAGAGAGAGAACTGAAGCCATCTGAACCGAAACCTGAGCCCAGCTCTCCAGTGACTAAAAACGCGTTATTACTGGCCTCTTTGTTTTTATAATTAGATAGGGAGAAAATAGTGAACATGTGAGTAACCAGGTGTGGAAAACTGTTGTTGTGCTTCCAGGCAGAATTTAGCAACTCAGTCTGCAAGAGGCCACGACTTGTTCACTTGTTGGAAGCCAAGTTGGTTGTCAAATAAGTTAACTTCGAGCTTTTTTTTCCACTAAGTTTTAATACGGAGGTTATCTCTCTCTCAGAAAAAGAAAAAAAAGAGTTTTAAAAAGTCAGATGTGTTTTTTCCTCAATCAAACATATAATTCTGTTTCAGGTCAGGCAGGAGTGAGAGTTTCCCACCATTCCCACCCCTGCCCTGACTTTAAAGCACCTGAAGATGAAATTCCCCCTTGTAAAGCAGCAGCAATCAGGTTTTGGCTCTACAAGAAGCAAAGGGATTGCACACACAGCTGTAAATGGGAGAGCACATTCATACTTCCTAGTTACACCTGCTGTGAAATTGTAGATTTTTGTTGTTGTGTCCCTCTAAAAAGAAATGTGGAATTTATGAAAACGTGCTTTTTTTTTTTTTTTTTAACCCATCAGCTCCACAGTCACTGAGGAGCTGCCACCTTTTTAGTGAGAGATCAAGCTGAAGCTGTGAATCTGTTCAGAGTCTCTGAGAAGTCGCTCAGCCCCTGCTTTCTGTTCCAGTAACCGGAGGAATCAGGCTAGGAGAGAAACACCAAACATGCGCACTGGCTCTGATAATGGAGTTGCAGGGTATTCTGGCTCTTATAAACCATACTTAATTTTATTTAACAAATTTAAATACAGTTCATTTAAAACTGAGAACAGACTGCAGCTCTAACACTCCATCCTGACCAGAGCTGGTCTTACTGAACATGTATCTCTGCTGCCAAGAACCATGGTAGCCTCCGTGCAAGCCCAGAGCCGTGTGACCAACTTTGAGGAGAGTGGAGCACAAAAGCAGGGTTGTGTTCAGAACCTGATCCTTTTGTGTTTCTCTGGAAGTTATTTCCTTCCCAGAAGGGAAGGTTGCAACTCAGCAGGGGCTGGAACTAACATTAGTGAACAAAACATGCAGCCAGGAGGGGACATCACTTGGAAGCTTGAATAGCACGAGAGCTTTGTCTGCCTTTAAACCTTTCCCCTTCCACTCTAGCGTATACAGACTGAACTGAGCTTGGGATGCTAGTACAAGAGCAGAATAAACCTGCCAGAATGCAAAGAGCTATTGTTTAATGCAAGGTAACAAGCATGGTCCCATACAGCAGCTAGTGGCCAGAAGGATCAGATGCTTTCTATCCAAGTAGCACTTCAGCCAGTGCATCTGAAGGAACATTTTTGTGAAGGCTGCGTAGCAAGGCTTCTGTGACTGGGAACTCAGGAATGCAACTCTTCCCCAGTGGGTTTGAAAGAGTGGGAGAAAATAAATTGAAAAAAAATAATAAATAAATTAGGAAATACACAGTCATTAGTTCAACGGGAGGCTCCCGCAATGTGAAGCTAACAAATCTATAATGCTTTGATGATTCTGTGTGTTAGGGCTAAAAATAACCAAGTTTCTTTTCAGGATTATGTCTTCCCTCAACTCAAAAGTAAAATTGTGCTTCAGCCCCTTTTGAAAGAATGGGGACACTGGGGATTGATCACGTTTGACAACAACTATGGAGGGAATAAGGGTGTTCTGGTGTTTGTTTTTTTTTAAGGGCTGGAGGTGGGGAGAAGGGTTAAGTTGTACCTTTGTTTCTTTCTCAGCAAGTTTGGTACTCTAAAATAGAGTAAACCGAGGCAGTACCACCCAGGTTCCTCTTCTGCATTGCTCAGTCATGTCTCTCTCACTGAGGAGCAAAACACAGTTTCATCAGAGAATAAATACCCTTTCATCAGTGCTATCTCAGCTCCTTTCATGTTACAGAGCAGGGAGGAGGCAACTACTGTTCTCCTTAGATAGTTTTCCAACCTACCTCAAGCCAGGGGCTGAAGAAACAGAGCACTAAGCCTGGGATCCCCTTTACAAGGGTGCATCAAAAGTTAACTCCAGCTGCTCCAGCGTGACTTTTCACGCCAGTAGCTCTGCAGTAGTGTGGCGTGGCCCTGAAAAAGGAGCTAGGGCTGAAGGATACATTGCACCGGGATGGTAAATGCACTGAAATCAGCGGTTATCATTCAATCCCTAGTATTAAGCAGTTAACTTTATTTTTTAAGAGTAGAAATTCAGCTTTCTGTTGGAGCCCCCTTCAGAGAATCCCACACCTACTGTTCATGTGAACCAAATGAGAGCTAAATAGAACGAAGATCTGAGTCCAGATTAAGTGTTATGGTGTAGGGCCGCAACGATCTCCTTAAAACCCTCCCCCAGTTATTTTAGCATGGATGAACAGAGAACCGTGTGCTGTAAACATAACTCCATCCAGAAACACAGAGGTATGTCAGAGCGCCCTCCCAAACCACAAAACTGCTTAAGGGAAAGGAGAGGGGGTACAAAGAAACAGAAATAGTTATGGGTTTGTTTAACCTGCCTTGCTTTTCCCCCTCCCCCAAAACCTTCCTGTCTTGTGCAGCGTAATAAACACGGATCAAAGTAGGTTTAAAATTAAGGGCTAAGGTGCCATCTCAGAAGGCAGCTGTCCCCTCCACGAACAGAGAGCTGCTTAGGCTGTCGCACACATAGCCACCAGGTACGTGTGTCTCCAGGAAAAAAAAAACAAAAACAATCATCAGGGGCCAACACGCTCCTGGGGGCGTTCTCACCCTTGCTTTCAGGTCCTGGAAAGCAGCCCCCTCAGTCCAGGCTACCATTCCAGCTGGGCCACGTCTTCAGTGCATCATGCCCTGCATGCGCTTCTCCCAAACCGAGCATCTCACGAGGCAGCTGGTCTTGTACAGAAGTCGATGTCAGTCCTGTATTTTCTGTGCTTTTTCTTCCACCTCCAGAGCATCTGGTTCTGCTCAGAGTCCAGGAGGAAGGGCAGGGGAATCCGGGTAGTTTATGTATGCAGTGTTGCTTGTTTTCAGTACACTAAAACTCTTGGAAGTCAGCAGAGGTCCTGGCTACTGCATGTCTGGCTGGCTGTATGCTGTGGAGAGGAACCTTGGAGGCTGTGCATGAAGAAATCTTCTGCAACAGAGACACAAGCAGCATGTTTATTACCCTTCTGCCTCGCTGCAGTTAGCTGCCACCCCTTGGAACTAGCCCAAAACCCATCTCGGATTGCGGATCTGTGACTGCTGCTGCTAGGCAACTGGTGGTGGTGAGAAGCAGTTGTGACAGCAGCGAAGAGCTACGGCCTCTCTGCAAAGCTGCTATATATAGTGCAGGCAATGTGCAGCCCAGGCTTTCCTCTGCTGTCCTGCCAACAGGCCGCAAACGCAGGCTACTGCAGCACGCAGGGCTCCAGCACCACAGCCCAAGGGAAGGTGCTGTAAGAGAGCTCATTATGGTTAAAAATACACCGCTGCTGAGAAAATCCAGCCCTTTCCCATAGCCCTCGCTGCTCTTCTCTGTGTGTGAGAGGAGAAGAGACCAAGGGGCAAGCTCCTCACCCCTCCAGGCCTGGTTTGGCACTCCAGTTAAAGGAGGTTGTGCGTACATTTTTTTTCCATACATTTTTTCCCCGTAATAACAAGCAGCAGTGCAGTCTGGATGCAGGTATAAGCAAATAGCCCAGCCTTCCCTCGAGCAAAGCAGCTGCGGAGCGCGCTCTGGGGATGCAGAAGATTTAATGCACCGGGATGCTCAGGTAATTAAGGTGAGAAGCCAGGGCATGGACAACTAATCGAGATGTCAGCCACCAGTGCGTGCTCCTGGGCTTTCCTCCTTTCCACTGAAAAAGATACTACAAGCTCACCTTAGGTAAATAAATACACGAAGCCTCATGTGGGATTTAATCCTCACTCTCCCTGACTAGTCAGTGACTTTGTGTGGCTTGTTTGGGGATCTAAATTAAATTCTTCCCTCCGTGAAAGCTTCTGCCTGACTTTAAAATGCTTTAGCTGATACTGGCTTAGCTTCCCTCAGGCGTTTTCAGGTGGGCGAATCCACATCTCTCACCCTTGTGCTTTAGCTGTGCGGTTAATAAGGAACCCATCTTGCTTAGACAAGTTCTTTGTTTTGATTCTTTAAATAGTGTAACTTCTGCCCAAACTCTCGCTGCCTGGATTTCACCAGGTATTTCCCCTTTAGCAGGCTTATCTTAGAGATTTTAAAGAGAGATTCATTAATAATCTCTATGTTTTGCAGTAAGGGAGGGTCAGATATGTGAAAAATTGCACTCAAAAGTCACGTTTAAAAGAGTTCATCTTTTTCCTGTCATGGTCTAGGATTTTTCTTCTTTACTGCTGCTTCTCATTACGGCTGAAGCCCATAAGCTCTTACCTGGTGTTGGTCTCTGCCCAGCCACGCGCAGTCAGATTTCCACGTTGGGATCTGTGAATCCTTTCTTCCCCTCGTTCACCAGCACAGGCTTTTCCGTCCTCGTATGCCAGACTAAAATCTGAAGAAAGCAGCAGTCATTAGCTGCATCTCTTCACTGCACTAACAAATATTCTTGCACATTAAATCAATAGTGCAATTTAACCAGCTACCCTGGAGCCTAATGGTGCATTCACAGCTGAAAGGAGGTTTGCATAAAACTTCATTTAGGTAGGCCTACTGATACCCAAAATGCACAGTGCACAGAAATTACCTATTTTACAGTGTACTGTCTTGGGACATTAACCTGCTCCTTCCATGTAGTTATCAACCATCTTCTGCGAAAGGCTCATCAACCTTTCCACTGATGTAAGGCAGCTCCCTCAGAAGCGGGGAATCAGATGCATGTTTCCCAGAGTCGAGTTCCTTGCTCTGGTTCTTGGTTATGTTACTGCACACCACCTCCAAAGCCCCACGGGCCTGCCCTTTGAAACTCTGGCCCCGAGCTGCCACCGCTGTTCTCCACCAGGTGTAATGGGTTGCAGCTTGTTGAAGGTCCCTCTCCAACCTGCTTAAATCAGAGCTGAAGCACGTCAGGATCCTAACTTGTACTAAATGCTTCCCTCAGACCTGGCAGCAAAGTTTAATGTAGATCAACAGCTGTGAAAGAGAGCTGGAAAAAAATAAATGAAGAGGTTGTCTAACGTTTGGGGTGTGGGGAAGCATTACAGGTCCATAGTTTCTACCAGCTGTGCTCCACTACAAGCCCAAGCAGCTCTGGAAGCTGCTGAAAATGCTCTCCCCTCACCAGACTCAATTAAACTCATTGTTTTGCTCCTAAACCTGCGTTGCTGGGAGCAGTTTCCTCCCTTCAGAGCTGGTTTCCTGCTTCCTTTCACCTGCTGGCTGCTATTCCCTGCCTCGCGGGGTCTCCCTCCAGTTGCTATGACAATACTCGGCGCCTTTAATCCAGCTCTCTGCCAGCCGTTTCATACCCAGTCCCTGCTTTCCTGAAAAATTAGGCCACATTCTGCTTCTGAGGGACGAACAAAGCCCTCCTCAAACCCTTGCAGTTAACCAGGAGCCCCCCCACCTCCCCGAGAAGCTGTTTGACCGAACGTGGCTCTGATGTGAGCGCTCGCCTCCTGCACAGGGCTCAAATCTCTCCAGCTGATACCAAGGCAGCGAGACCAACCGCGGCCTGCAGTGGGGCCCAAACCTGTCTCATCACTCCTGTGCAGCCACTTCTGAGCCCTCTCATCCACGTGTGCTGTTGTTAGCACCCTGCTCACCCGCTGCAGCCGCGCTGCTGCAATTCCTGCTCGCTTTCTTCTCCAAAGGCAGAAGCAAACAGGGCTCCGCGAGTGGCTTCTGGTGCTGGGAAAGCGTTCGTTGCAGGCTCCTCATCCAACACAAACCTGAACGCAGGCCAGGTGCTAGGAAAAAAAGCTCTTGCAGGCAGTTCTTTCCAGCGGGAGCAGGTAGGAGCTGTTCCCCACACAACCACTGAGCCCCGCTGGTGGCTGGGCACCGCGCTCTGCCAGCGGCACAGCCGCCTTCAAACAGCTCTCGCCACCGAGCCACGCGCTCCGTGAGCAGCAGACCACAAACATAGATGAATTGCTTTTCTTTTAGATTGCATCCTGCTTCTACGTCGTGAAACCCGAGTGCCAAAAAGGCAGTTACGTTGAATTAGCTGACTAAAGTTGACTAATTTTCACAGTTTGCAGCTTGATTCAGCGGCTTCTGCCATTCCTCGTGCAATGCTCTTTAACATGGGAGGGAGCTCACAGAAACACCTGCTTTTCCTCACAGTCAATTGCTTGATTTTTTTCCACAAGGAGTGTGTTTATGTCTTGGGGAAGCTTTGGCTTGTGCAAAAAGCACGGCTTGTATAGGAGCAAGCAGGGTAGGGGACCACGTGTGCACCACTGACCCATATGGGTCACCAGGAGAGTGAAATCTCTGCTGCTGCAACTCCCTTCCAGCCTCCTCATCCAGCATCGCAGGACTCAGATCAGACCTGAGAGATTTCAAGGATTCGTTTCCATCGCAGACTTTTTTGTTGTCTTCCAACAGGAAATTAAAAAGCAAACAGGCAAAAAGTTGACCTGCAGTTGGAGGGGATCACAGATTTCAGGCCTCCATGGAGGACACTGATAATTGTGATTTGAAACGGAGGCTACTCAACGTGAAGGAAAAGAGACAGCAAGCTGAAACTGACAGATTTGCTTCCTCCCAGCTTGTGCTTAACCCAATTCCTGCAGGGGCTTGTAGGCATCGTGGAGGCCCTGTTCTCACTGAAGCCTGCCCGTTGGTACACTGTGGAGCGGGGCAGGCAGACAGTGCTGCAAAACCCAAACGACTGGGGTGTAATTACGTCTTTCAGCTGTGATGCAGGGGATGGCATTGGCACAGCAGTTCTGGTGGCTAATCAGGACGTGACAAGGTGAAAAGAGCCCTCCAAGTTCTGCACATCTCATAAAAATCAACAGCTCCAGCACTGTTGTGGTGTGCATGTGAAGCTTAACCAACAAAGCGCTGTTGCATAGCAGCCGGGTACTGACGGCTCGCTGCAAACCACCAGGCACAAACCTGCAGGAATACAGCAGCCCCATTTCAGGAACAATCTCACCAAAATGAGGGCAGATCTGCTCCATCCATACCCTGCTGCTCAGCCCCTGAAAGAACACAAAGAGCTCGGGAAGCCAATTCCTCTGCCTTCCGTCTGTAGCACCACAGGATAAAATCAGAAGGAAGCAAAGTATTCCTTTGCAAGCTTTCTTGCCTTAGGCTGACGTTTTCCTTCCCTCCTTGCCCATTCTGAGCCAGTTTTAGCAATTTTAGATCTGTGATGTCACGAAGCAGCCGGCTCTGGTCCCTTTTGCTGTGTAATTTCCTGGCTGCTGCAGGGCCCACAGGGCTCCTCCATACACACGAGGATTTATTCCCCTCCCAGGAGTGGTTCCAAGACCCCCGGTGGTCACAATGTTGGTTTGTGGTTGAGGTACTGCCAGGACAACTTTCTGCTCCCTGTTTTCCAGCCTCACCCAAAGAAACGCATCTGCTCCGATCTCCCTGGGGAAACGAGCGGGTCCAGGAGTAGCTGGGATGAGATGCATCATTTCCACTGGTATCTTGTGGTCTCTCCTCTTGTACCAGTACCAGCTGAGGCTTTTGAAGAGCTGGGGCCACTGTTAAGGTCTCTCCCCTTTGAGCGCCCTCTGACAGCGCACTGCAGCTCACTTCCTCAGGCATTAATGGAAAACGGGGAGCAGAATATGTCCCAGTTACATCAGCCTTGTGGGAACACAAGATCTCTGAGACCTTGATCCTGTCAGGTTTGATGTATCAATGGATTGGAGAGAGCTCTGCCTGCTCTGGTGGTGTGGGGGGGGACTGCAGAAGCAGCAGGACGCAGAAATACACGGCTCGCTTGCACGGCCTCGTTCCCTTACAATTCTGGTGTAAACCAGTCCTTCCCTCCTGATGAAGAGGGTTAACTCCTTTCCATTGGGCAATTATCACTGACTTCATTTTCTCCCTCATTTTGAGCAGATCTCAAATCAAAGCAAATAACCAGGATGCATGGCTTTGGCCAAAGCTCGAGCTTTTTGCCAGAGCGAGCGTCTGCGGGCCGAGGTCAGACAAACACTACCAAGTGAATACCAGCGCTGTACCCAGGGAAGACAGCATTTTGGGAGAACAGATGTCTGTGCTTATCTCACATAGTTCTCTGATCCCTCCTTAATGACTGTACCTGAGCACATCATAATCTGTAATGTAAATCTCACCGCAGAGCAGGAGCGTGTCTGTGCCGAGCAGGGCAAAGCGCGCCAGCTGCTGGGAGGAGAGCTTCAGTCCTGGGGCAAGAGGACCCCAGGTCCCAGCCTGCTTCTGTCCCTCTCTGCTGCTGGTGTGGACTCTTCTCCTCGCCAGGAGTGTGAACAAAACAGCAACTGGGAAATGGGGGCTGCTGGCAACAGCTGAGAGCAGAAAGGCAAAGCTCCACCTGCAACGCCGCACGTGGGGTTTGCCAGGAGCGGCCAGCAGTCAGTGCACAACGAGGCCCCTTGTTGTGTCAGATCCCCGCAGCCCAGCCAAGAAAAGAAATGCAGTCTGCTCCAAATCCTGGCCGGCTGCTCCTGCGTCCTCATCAGCTCTGACCTGCAGCTCCCGCAGGACAGCCCTGACCCAGCAGCCTGGCAGCACCGTGCCTCACCTCCTGCCTGCAGATAACCCTTCCCTTCCTCTCCTTCCTCCACGTGTTCCCCAAAACCATCATTTCTTACTCGCAGCCTTTTAAACAAAGCCTCTTTCCCGTAGCTAGTTTTACAGCAGGGATGATCTCTCGGAGATTGCATAACCACGGGGTGAAAGTCCCTGATCTGTGCACCAGGCTGGAAGCATCTCTCCCGATCGGCTGGCAGCTCACATCTCAGCCAGTGCTTCCCTGTTAGCTGGTGGGGCACTGAGAGGGGAAAGAGGCAGGCCTGGGTGTATCTATATCCTTCTCCACCAAACCAAACCAAACCACAACAAAAAACCAAACCAGAGACCTCCAAATCACACTCATGAGGTAAGCAACCCACTGCAGCCCCTGCTGGGCTGGCCTTTTGCAAGCCTGTCTGACACAGTGCCCGAGAGCACAGATCTAATTTTAACCCAGTCCCTTGTCCCAGCCTCAGCAGACCATCTGTGCGATGCTGGACATGCCCAACCACCGACATGCAGAGTTAAAAAAGGAGGCACAGCAGGTATCAGATAATAAATAAAGTCATTTCTCCCCCGCAGCGCCTCTTCCTTGTTCCTGGGCTCCTTGTGCAAGCGCTGCTGAACATCGAGATCCTGCTTTTACTGGGGCGGGGAGCCACGAAGCAGTGAGGATGGAAAGCAGAGGCAAAAGTTATTATTCAAAGTAACCCCAAAAGGGATGGAGACCTGAGCCCAACACCGTGTGTGTCAGCACCAGCTCATTTGTTAAAAAGCAAAAATCTACCTGGGAGGATTACATGATAGAGTCCCTACATCAGACTGGGTGGCCGTCTGCTACAGACAGAGGCACGAGCACTGCACAGGGGTCTCTGATCCCAAATGGAGCCCCTCCGGTGCCGGCTGTGCTCAGGGCACCCACTCACAGAGCTTCAAAGCACGACAGCATCGCTGCTGCTGTGCCATGATTGATGCCTGTCACGCTAACCAGCACTGTCTCATTGTATCTCACATGTTTCCCTGTCATCCCAGATAGATTTCCATCTGCTGGCTCTCATCTTTGCCTGGGAAGTCTTCAGGGCAAGAGCCATCAGTGTATCCTGTGTTTCTATCTTACTTAGCACAGAGGGGTGCTGCTCCATAACCTGGTGGCTCCTAGACAATGTGTAAAGTCAAACAATGAACAGTCATCACCTGCAAAATCCCCCCACAAGGAAGCTTCATGGAAGCCTCCCAGGGCTCGGAGCACTACCCCAAGCATTAAACCATTTCTACATTATCCCTAGCACACAAAAATCAGCGTCGTTGTGGTCAGCTCTAGCGATATTTTACTGACATCAAGAGGGAAGAGGCAACGGTGCAATAAGGCAGCTTTTATGTGCATGGTCTTTCCCCGCAGGCAGGGAACAAGAAGGCTCGGTACTGCTGGGCTGCAGCTCAGACAGCTCCAGAGAGCCAGGTCCTGTATGATGCTGGCTTACTGCAGGCGTACCGGCACTCAAAAGCTGCCCCAAGGAATTGAAAGCAACCAACCTGCATTTCACCCAGGGGATTCCCTGCTCCGGGAGATTAGAAAGGCCACAGACAAGCCCGTCTTGAAAAGAACAGGGATATTATTTGGAGATAATATAAGGAAGACACCATATTTTAATGCCTTCTGCAGCCAGTAACAACAAAAGGAGCTCCTACCACACTTTTTAAAGGCAATTACCCCGCTCCCTTGCAGCAGGGATGTGCTCTCCTCAAGACACAGAGGACAAGCGACCGAACGGCCTTTTGTCCCACCACCAGACCCTCGCACCCCCTACATGAGAAGGACGCCGTACCTTAGTGCAATTGGCAGCTTTCGGCTCAAGGTCATTCAGGGTGACCAGCTCCCGGAGCAGGCTGCTCTCCTGGTAGCCCCCCTTCACTCCTCGCAGCTTGAAGTAAGCCTGAGATCGCTGGAGGATCAGCCTGAGGTTGACAGCAAAGCCTGCCATGTCGATAGCGAAGGGCCGGTGCGGGTCGAACACGGTTTTCCAGCCGTAGACCTTCCCCGCAGCGTTCACTTTGGGCGACTCGTAGCGCAAGCCACCGACGAAGGCCACTGGCCACACCGACACCTTCCTGGTGCTGCGCATCTGCAGGCAAGGAAAGAGAAGGGTTGGAAGGGGGCACGCAGCCTCCAAGGCCCCAGCAGCACCCCAGCAGCGTGCCTTCACCTCGCTCGCTGCCCTGCAGGGGCCGGATTTTGGGAATGGTGCAGCAAAGAGCCTGGTCACGGCCCCAGACATCTGCTGTGGTTTGGCAGCAGGGCTCCGTGCTCTGCTCACCTCCACGAGGCCGCACGTCCTGTGGCTGGGGGAGCAGAGTGCTTTGGGAAGTGGCAGCTGGGGACAACGTGTGAGGTCAGTGCTAGAAACAAAGCTGTAGGTAATAACCCTAACCGAGATGTGGGATTTGTCAAAAGGCCCTCTGGGACGCAGAGGAGGGACGCACGCTGTCCGAGGCCACCTGGGGACCCAGGGCTGGCTTATCTAGGAAGAAAGGTGTTTCCTCTGAAAGCAAAGGATCTGAGCTGCGATCCCAACGATGAGCCACATTAAGGCTAAAAGCAGCCCTAGGGATGCTTAAAGATGCTCGGGGACAGCTGGAAGCACAGCCTCTCCAGAAGCTCCCAGCACACAGGGAAGGGCCCTGTAGCTGCTCCTGCTACCCGGAGGGATGTTGGAGGCTTCTGCTCCCCATGGAGTCAGCAGAAACAGAGAGGAGGCACCAGGGGACACCTCAGACGCTTGCCAGTGTGGATGATCTGCGTGCCAGCCCGCCTGCACGCCCCCCGGCACCCTGCCCTGCTCCGCTGCCAGGCTCAGCCTCGTCTCCTGCTCTCAGCCCGGTCTCTTAGATCAGGGATCTCCCAGAGCTAATCTCATCACTGCTAATTACTGCAAACGAGAGCAGAAGAGCTCTGGCACTTGCCCTTCCGCATTATACACATGCTAACGGCCGTCCCTGTCCGCGGGGAGCAATAATGCGTGTCTTCTGCATTTCACAGCACATTTCATCGGCTCCATGCGCCCTGAGCTGCAGCTACATCTCGGAGAGGAGCAGCCTCTGCAAGCAAAGCACCCGGGTGAAGCACCCGGGTGAACGAAGGAACCCTTTCTGCTTTATTAACGCACCGTGTCTGTCTGAGGACGCTGCCAGAGCCAGCCTCAAAGGACGATGTGGAAAAACTGCGTTCAGTTTGAGTTTGCTCTCAGCTTTAGAAGCGTGCGTGTGCCTGTGGCTGTCCTGAGCTCAAGGGAAAGCCATCGGGGGGAGAAAAGGGGGTGTGGAGTGAGTTAACAGGAGATCCCTGAAATGAAATCTGGCAACCATTAAGGAGGCAATCCTGCGTCCTTGTCCCTCGCTGCAAGAGCTCAGGCTCGGCGGATGGAAGCAGGAATTTCTGAGCTGGGAGCAGGGGAGGTGCCGTGCACGTGGCGCTGTAAGGCCGCAGACAGGGAGAGGGGCAGGAGGTCATTTACAGCCCGTGCAAGAGCAGAACAGGCAGCAAAGCTGGGAAAGCACAGGGGAGCCTTCCCGTGCTTGAGTCTGACAAGGTCGCCAGGATGTGCCGAAATCCTGCCTGCAATCACAGCTCCCTGAGCCGCCAGCTTCAAGGCTGAGCGCTCAGCCCCAGCCCCTGCTGAAATCACCCCGAGCCCATCTCTCCCTGGTGCTCCAGGAGGAAGAGCTGCAGAGGGGAGCGCTGCACACACCTCCCCGCAGCAGCAAGGGCTCCTCTTTTCTGGGAGGTGAAGCAAACGCCAACAAACGCATGCTCCTTGTGTGTGCGGCGGCCCGGAGACAATTTGCAGAGAGCATCTCCCAAGAAGACGTCCTGCGAGTGCTCTGCCTGCGCCAACGCCACTCAGGCGTAGCTCTGAAGGTCTGCTCCCCCGGCTGGGAGCTGCGCAGAGCAGCTGCCGGGCTCTCGACAGCTCCGGAGTTGAAGCAGGGAACGTGCTGGGATGAGAGCAAACAAATGCAAACGGCAAGCAAGGAGGAGAAACCCCAGGGACTCCTCCAGCAAGAACAAACAGGGATTAACAGCTGAGTGCACTACGTTGGGGTGGCAGAGAAGAAAGGAGGATAACAGCCGAGTGGAAACCAGCCTGAAATCTCCTCCGGGGTGGGACATGGGGGGAGGATGGCCAAGGGTGCTCCTCCCAGGTATATTCATGTGTCTGTGCAGGCACGAGGGAGAGCAGTTCATGTTCCAGCCCTAACAGCAGCTCCCACAGAAGGCAGCTCTTCGTCAGCTTCCCTCACAGCACGTCCTACCTGCGTGTTTCTCTTGTTAGGATCTTACCAGCCAGCTCCTGCCCCGAGATGACCGCTCTCCCTCATCACAAACAGCCTTTTGTGGATGTCTTTTAGCACGGGTTTCTGCTACCAAGGGAAAAGCCTTGTGCTTCCTCTCTGAGGGAGCACCAACAGGCAGAGGTGGGAGTGCAGAAAAAAGGCAACGAGACCCCTTCAAATGTAGCAAATGCCTTCAGGTAATGAGCACAGACGCCCACTAGTATGCCTCCACCATGTGCCAGAGGACAAATTTGGATTCCCATCGCTCTGCATTACTTTTGACCCTCAAAGTGCACACTTTGCAGTGGTGTGGCCAAGCCCCAAAGGAAACTTCAGGGCAACCACTACAGAGACAAACTGACCTGGAGCTCAGGAGATGTGCACAGGATCTCCTCGGCTCACTACACGCTATCTTTTACAACTCACACACAAACCTGCTGCGTTCAGCTGTCCGGGGCTCCCCCAGCAGGCTCTTACCTCCTCGAAGAGCTCCAGGCTGTAGGTGTTATCATCGTCGGCGAAGTAAACGATGCCAGGCTGGCTGTTATTCCTGTTAAAGGTCTCTCTCAGCCATCTCAGGGCCAGGTTCCTCTGCATGGTCCCGCGGGGGATGCGGGGATCCCTCATGTCCCCCCGCAGCTTGTAGTTGCGAGGTGTCTCCACGTTGAGGTGGGTGTAGTTCAGCCCCGTGTCCCGCAGCAGCCGGGTGATGAGCGGCGTGCGCCGCTGCGAGTCCTCCACCAGGATCCAGTGCAGGTTGGGGACGTGCAGCAGGGTGTTGGCCAGGCGCGTCAGCTCTGCCTTCTGCACGGGCCGGCTGTAGGTGGGTGTAATGACGTGGATGGTGGGGAGGGTGTCCGACCACGGGGGTGGGCGGGTATAAACATATTCTGTCCTCACCACCTCCACAATGTCCCGGTCCGACAAGCAGTATTCCTTGGAGTCCAAGCCTGCAGCGAGATCACGCCGGGAGTCACCACCATCATCTGAGCAAGGGTACGAGAGAGAAGAGAAAGCCGCATGGACTCGGTCCTCCGACACCCACCCTCCCCGGGCCGAGCCCGCAGGCTGCTTGCTGAGAGCAGGAGGTCACCCCGCAGCTCGAGAGGAAAGGAAACAGGCGAAGTGGAGGCTTTAATAAATAAGTACACGGATGAGTAAAGGAATCGGGGACACACCCGTGAGAAAAGAAGCTCCTCCTGGTAGAAGAGCAGCACCGGTCGAGGCCTGAGAGCCCGGCCCAGTGGTGCTGCTCAGAGCGAGCAGCTTCCAAAAGTACCCAGAAGAGACAGACAGATCTAGATAACGAAAATAGCATCACGGCCTGGCGAGCTGTCATTCCCAAAGAGCTCCAGGGCGAGAGGGAAGCTCTCCCAGCAGCATCATTTGGATACCGCAGTACCCCCTCTCCTGACCAGCCTGGGATGCTGCACGGAGAAGCAAGGGCAAGACACGCTCGTTAAGTCCAGAGACGGCAGAAACTGAAGCCTGCAGTTGTAGGCTTTTACCTGCACCTGCCCCTAACTTCTCCTCAACAAGACCCTGCAGATTTCTTAACTCCCAGCCCATTCGGTGTTTAGGACACGAACAGCAGAACAGCACTGCACCAGCTAACTGCGTGTAGGATCAACTGACCCTAACGTCTCAAATCCTCACAAAGGGAGACGTGGGCACAACTGGCTCAGGGTAAAAAATACTCCTGCATTTGTCATTTTCAAGGGTGCAAATTCCATGCTTTCATACCAATGCAGATGGGCAGGAACATCACAGTCTGCATTTAGGGACTGGCAGGGATGAAGGGGCATCGCTCTCCAGATATCAGCCAGCTGGTGGGCACTTACACTTAGAGACTGCCAGGAGCTTGAGATGAGAAAGAATGGGAACAGACACTAGCACTGACCCAGTACAGTATCACTTTTAATTATGATGTGGTTGCTCATAGCATGGTACTCCTCCAGCAGCACAGACTTTGATACCAGCCCTGAATGAAGGCTTCAGACTCCGTGCCACTGAAGGAGGGAGGGGGTGTGTGTCTGGAGGGGTGGGGGGACAGGAGCAAAGTGTCCTGCACGTGTTGGGATCAGGCCCTAGGAAGGTAAAGCACATCTGCATCACACAGCGCAGCTCTGAAAGCACAGAGCACCAGAATCAGTTCAACAATAAACCCACAAAATGCACGGGGCACAGACAGCAACGCAATCAGCCAGGCTGGAGCTTGAAGGAGACACCTGAGACAGTTTGCAAACCCCTCCAGGTCAGCCCCTCAGCTGTAAATCCTGGCACACGTATCGGCTGCTGCCGCGTGCTCAGCAGCGCACAGACACATCGCATTCAGCACCTGTGCTGAAGGATCTCAGAAACACATCACAAGTACAAAGAGACTTTTCCTAAGAGCTTCAGGCCAGTCTCTACCACCACTCATTTTCCACCAGGGGCAGCACAGGCAGAGGAAGCAGCTCACCGAGGTCACCAGCAAGTTCAGGACCAGGGCAGAGCGGGGCAGGCTCTGTGCTGGAACCCCAGTGGCCATGGCCTTTCACCAAAAAGCAGCTCCTGGTTTTTAGGGCTCTGAATCAAACCACGATACAGACAGCGTGTTCTTAGGAGACTTTCAAGCCCTGTTTTGGACCCCTTGTCCTCTGACACCCTGTGCACCTTTCAGAGAGGCTCAGTCGTCCTTGCTCGGGGTGGGCTCCGAACCTCTGACAGCTCACACTGCCCGTCAGACCGCTGAGCCAAAGCATAAGCAGCCGTGGAGGATGGGTGTGAGCACTAAAATGAAAAGGGAGAGAATCTCCCAGAGAAAGGGCCTGGAGAGAGCAAACGGGTTGGCTTTCCTCCCTGGCAGCAGGGCAGAACTGAGAACAAAGGCTGAAGAAGGCAGTGTGGCTTTCTCCTGCCCCCAGGAGCTCTCACTGCTCTCGGATACTGCTGCTGTGAGAAGAATGGGATAAAAACCAGGACCCTTCTGGCCAGAGAGGACCCCCAAGAACCTCCTGCATTTGTCTGATTTGAGCCAGAGCAATATTTAATGCTTTGTGCCACAGGTAAGGTGGAATCTGGCTTTTCTCCAGCATTTTACCTTCACCAAACAATTAGGGCAGATGCTGGCTCTCGCTACAGTGCCTTCCCCTTCAAGCCCAGGAGGACCAGTTTGCTGCTTTCCTGGGGACACAAAAATGCTTTTTGCCTCATGTCTCCTAGACCAACTGTCTCCAGTAGCAGCTTTGCTTTCTCTGCTCTCTTTTTTTGCAGTTTTCCTGCTGGACTCATTTCTGTGAGCACGCTGCAAACACCAGCAGAAAGGGACCCCTCTCTTCCAGATCACCGGGGAACAAAGAAAAGCAAATTCCTTCTGTGCTCTGTTCCCCTCAGTCTGGATTTAGGTCATGAAGAGCTCCCCAAGTGCAGGGCCATGCCCATGGCTTGGAGTTTGATGTCTCCAAAGAAGCCTGGAACGCCTTGGGCTGTTCCTACAGCACGAGGGGAGGCTTCTGCGTGAGCATGGGCTGGGAGCTGAGATGAGCATGGCTGCCATGGAGAGATGAAATGAGAGAGGAGATGAGGACGAGGGAGGGATGCACAGACTCGGCATGGGCTGGTTTGATTTCTCTCACCCTTGTGCACTGCAAGCAGTGGAGCAATGGTGCTCTGGTGCCAGACGGTGATTAGTAGCGTCCAGGGCAGAACTATCAGCACGATAGCCAGGATGTCTCGTCTCTTCGGCATCTCCAAGACTGACTGGACCCACAGCTCCTCATTACCTGACAGTGAAAACCCCAGAGACAGAACAGCAGAGCACATGGAGAACAGAAATAAATGGGCAAGAAGGAACAAGGACAGAGAAAGAGAACGCGAGAGAGGGAGAGAGCAGCGAAGGCGACACGGCTCGCAGGTCTTACCAGTGCTCACAACCCACCCATTGCAGAAGCAGGTTTGGAGGGGCCTCGGCTGCTGGGACCAGGAGCAGGAGACGACTTCTACGGGACGCTGCTGGGGCCTCCAGCAGGAACCTCAGGGACACATTTGGCAGGCGACCTGCAACACAAAGCACCGGTGAGCAGGCGGGGAACAGTACGTGGAAGCACGTAACGCTCACAAATCCTCCCTGCAAACAGCAGCTCAAGCTGACCAAGAGGAATATGTGCCACCCCTCCACGAGAGATGCCTCCTGGGTGCCCAGGGCCTTGCTTCCCTGTGCGTCCACTCATCAAGCAACCTGAGCAGCCGCTTGGTGCCTGAGCCATCCCCCAGCAGCACAGGGCCCTATATCCACTGGGCAGCCGGGTCTCCCGGCACCCTGTGCTGAGCCCAAGCCCCAGGAGGATGCAGACACCGCTCCGACCACATCAGCACAGCAGCAAGTGCCCTGACCCACCACAGCCTCTCCCTTTACTGGGCAGAGCTCTCAGCAGCCAGGAGGGAAACCGAGCCTGTGTTCTTGGGGACGTGGCTCCAGGGAAGCCAGTGACCCCACATTTTGCTTGTCATCGTCATCCCCTCGGCTCAGACCATCCCCCTGGCACCTTCCACGCCGCTGGGTTTAGCTCAGGCTTCCCCCAGCCTGGTCAGGTTCGTTTCTTCCATCTCGGAGGTGTTGCGGCTGGAGTGTATTAAGCTGCCACGATGGCTTACTTTGATTCAACACGAGCACATACAAGATTTAAGCAGACTGTATTTTATCCGAGTATCTTGGCAAGCAAAGTGCATCGCTTAGCGGGGACACGCGCGGTGGACAGTTTGCAAACACGGGTAGCAGTTTAGTAGCACGGCTCCCTTGTGGGGGAATGCATTACCCTGCTGCTTCACGGGCTGCACTGCAGACAGGGGAGAGCCCAGAGCACACCGCAGGCACACGTGGCGAGGTCTCAGTGCTGGGGAAAAGCACTGATCCCCCCCCTCACCACCTGGTGGGTTACTTTCTCCGCAGTGCCCTAGAAACCATCAGATCCCATCCTAAAATCGTGGGGAGCTCCTCATGCCCAGGCTGTGCTGCACACGGATGCTGCTTTGCTGGTGGTTTTCCCCCGAGACCCTTGGAGCTCGCTTTGCCTTGGGGGCAGTGGGCAGGCAGGGAGAGACCCGGGCTCAAAGCCTTCATTAGCCCAGTTTGGATCAATCTGGCCTGCCCTGTGGCCATGCCCTGACCACTGGGCTGCACGAGCAGCCTCTGGCACCAAGCCCGGTGGCAGACTGGAAGCGAAATGGCCCAGGGCAAGGTGCAGCCAGGCAGGGTGATGAAAGAGAGCCAGTCTTCTGGAAGGGTCCCCAGAGAAAACAACAAAACCCCAACCCAGCCACCAAATACATCCCTTTTACTGAGAATGGGGTTTCCTGCAGCCCAGCTCGGGGAAGCAGCACTAAAAAGCTTTTCACAGCCCAAGGAACTGCGCCGTGCAGCCGGACACCCTGCAGTCTTTCAAGTATCTCCTGGCAACACGGATTTGTCCTTATTTTTTTTTTCAGAATTGCTGAAAGCAGCCTCGTCCTCACAAAATAAACCAGGGAGGAAGAGGAGGAATTATTCCAGCCTCCTGCTCCGTGCCTGTACAGCTCCTAAAGCACGAGAGATCCTGCTGGCCTCGTGCTGCCAAGGCACGCAGTGCCCTCAGGAAAGAGCAGCTGGCCTCATCCTGGCTGTCCCTGCAGCTGCTGTCAGTGCCTGACCAGGGGACCCCAAGTGCTGGCATCCCTTAAATCCCCTACTAAAGCCAGGACGTGTTCTTTGAGCATCCTGGTAGGGCAGAGCCTTAAGGGGCAGCTCTGAAAGGACCCAACACCTTTCCTGTAAGGTGCCTCTGCTGCAAATGCACCAGGTAAGGGACTCACTTGTCCCTTGGTCTCTGCAGCATCGATTCCTTTTAATTAGCCATGGAGCATTCAGCAGCTCCCTGGTCAATCATCTGTAGCATGGTGCTCGGGCTGCCCAGGGCCAGCCCAGCCCACGTGTGCCCCAGCAGAGAGCCAAGGGCTGCGCGGTGCTGCTCAGGATGGAAGTGGAGAGCTCATGGGGACGGGATCTGCAGGGACACAGCCCCAGCCTGGACCCAAATTTGGATGGCAGTGGCTGGCTGGGGGTGGCTGTGGAGCCCCCGACCACGCTGCTCGCTGCTCATTCATTGAGCACTGGGATTTTCTGGATGACCCTTAAAACCCTGGCTGAAGGACACCGCAGGAATTCACCAGGGGCTGCTGCCTTTAACAGCGAGTCCAGCCGAGGGCCTCAGGGCAGGGCAGTGCTCGCTGCGCTGTAACAAAGCCCCCGCTCCCTGCTCCCTCACGTGCTGAGGCTGCAAAAGGTGAAATCCATTTTGTGCTACCAAACAACAGCAGCGAGGAAATACTCGCTCGCCTACGATTTCACGCTGCTGGTGAGAAAAGTCACAGCTTCACAGCCCAGAACAGAGGGCTCGCCCTGCATCCCAAAACCCCTCGCTGCCAAGGCTGAAGGATGATTTTTGTTGCTGGTTCTGGCACGAGTGTGCCTAGCCGAGCATCATACCAGGGAAAATTGTGCCCCTCTTCAAGGTGTTCCCTCTCCTCGTGCCCCACCATAACACCACTCTGTCTTCCCCACCGAAATGCTCAGAACAAAACCTGGCTGTTCCCAGATTGTCTGGTTTCAGCTTCTGCCATCTCCACCTCCACCAGGAAAAGAAGGAGGGGGAACGAATTTAAACATGAATTAATTAAAAGACTCACTCTGTTTTCCACTACAGAAAGCATCTTTTTTTTTTTTCCAGGTTTGAAAATTAAAGCAAAATGCACAAATCACAAGCTCGAATGTAAGCAATTTGGGAGTTAAAGTGTTTCTAAAATAAGGGGTTTTGCACAGTTTGGGGAGCCTTTCCTTGCCAGAAACACATCTGCCATGCTGCAAGCCACACGGTGGCAGAGATTTCATGTCCTCCGGCAGAGGGCAATGGTGTCAAGGCACGGCGATATTAAAAGGGCACTCATCTAATAGGAAAGCTTTAATAAATCCCGGAGCCATGTGTTAGCAACGCGTCGGATTATTAAACGCGGAAGGTTCTTTTTTTAAACCACGTTAATTGGCGTCAGCTCTGACACTTACCGTAGGAAACGCCGATTTGATCTGTAATCTGCTTTACAGGCAGCTTTCCCTTCCTTCTCCCTCTGAGGCTGAGCAGCCCCAGTGCCATCGCTCCGTGGTGTTCCCACGTTGAGCAGAAGTGATTGGGAACGTGTTAAACCGAAGGATTGTTTTCACCGAGCTCGCGTATGTACAGCAGTCACCGAAGGAAAAATATTGTCCAGACGTAAAAAAAAAAAAACAAAACAACACAACAAAAACACACTCAACCCCCCCAAACAAAAACATCAAACATTTACTTGCGTTACAAAAGCAGCCGGGAATATCAGACACTGCCAAATCCCACAACAAAAGCTTTCAGAGGAAAATAAACACCGATGCTGCAGGACGCAGTGTGTCTGCTCACTGCCAGCTTCTCCCCCTGGGCAAAGCATCCCCTAAACCCAAACTCTGTTTTTTTTAACCTTTAAATAGCAACTGGTTCTGATCCCTGGGGGAGAATTAGGAGCTCTACAAGGCTTACTCTGCCCTACAGGGGAGCTGGGGGGATTTGGGGCCACTGATCCCAGCCCGGCTCTGCTCCATGCCACGGGCAGGGGACAGGCACAGAAGCCTCCCCTCCTGCCTGCGGTTTTGGTGTTTGGCAGAAAAGGCTTGTAAAGCACTGGCTAAAAAATAAAGGTAGTAATAAAAGCCTCTTGCTCGTTAATTACTCTGTAAGCCATAACTGCCTAAAAACCCCATAACTTTAATGGGGACTATTATAAGTATAGTAGCAAAACTGTGAAGCTAATTACTGTTTAGTTATTAAGCAGAACATCGCCAGAACTGAGTAATGAGCACGCAGAACTGCTCATTCTTCGAGGATTTAATCACGGGCATGAAGTTCAGCCTCAGGTTTTCCCAGCTTGGCATCTGGGACGGGGTTTGGCAGCCTGGCACCCCCTGAGGGCTGCAGGACACCCCGGGGGAAGGCACCAGCTAGAGCTGCTCTGCACGGCACAGAGCTCCAGTTGCAGACCAAAAAGGGAGCAAAAATGAGCCAGAAATGTCTCAGATCACCTCTGCCACTCTGATGGTGAGAGGGGAACTGGATTCATCCACGGGAATCCAAGCAGTTACCTGATACTCCAGTGGGTGTCAACCATTTTATGGTCCCTGTCAGCAAAATGCTTGCAAACTTCTGAAAACCCCAAATCCATGCCCCAGACAGAGGCACAGCACAACTATGATGGGAAACCCACACCAGAACAGCACAGGGGCTGCAGGAGGAGTTGGTGTTCCCCAAAGCAGGCAGGCAGGGCAGCGTTATGGGGCATTTTGTGTGGGGATGAGGAGCTCAGGCGGGGAGCACCAGGACAGCACCGTCAGTCGGGGTGATTGAAGGAAAATAGGTTAAATTCGCCCAGGGAGGCCTGAGGAATAATAAGCCCTGCTGCCACAGGCTTCAAACAGGACTAATTTTGTTCAATAATAACTTGCTTTATGGGGAAAGAAAAAATAAGAATAAAAGAGAGAAGAAAAAACTGTGTTTTTCCTCTCCTGGGGTTATTTAACCCCAAATCCAGAATTTGATTTCTCCTTTAAAAATTTAAAATAAGCCCTATGGCTAAAAATACAGAAATAATATGTGCTTGCCTTCCTTCCTTTCCTCCTTCCTTCTTTTATCCCCTCCCTCCCTCTCTGCAAACCCAGACAATTCAGATACCCTGACAAAGCCTGGAAAGGAAGCTCGGTTTTCAGGGCTGTTTTTCCACCCAATCCTTTTGGCCAGCTCCAGCTGGGAATCCCAGGCCTGCCCGCACACTCTCTGGCTGTGCACACAGGCACAGTTTGTGTTTCCCAAGCTGTTGGAGAAATCAGGGCACAGAGACTGCAGAATTTGCCCCAACTTGCAACAATCGAGACAAAATCTGACCTGCTCTCCCCTCCCAGTCCCTGAGTCCCTGATCCCTGTTGCAATGAATGGGATCAAGAACACAGA